ATGATTTATTGAATAAAGAACAGATGTATAAGTTATGTGTTTATTATAAGTTTTGGTAAATAATTGTTTAGTCAGAATATGGTGCGCTTAGAAACACCAGTATTAAGCGCCTTATAAATATTGTGTATTATTATTAAGAGTGCACGAAGCGGTTCATTCATTACTGCCAACTTGATTAACCATACCCATGAATCTTTGAAGTTCTGTGATGGTCCTCGGTGCCGGAAACTCTCGGATTGCCTGTGTTTTTTCTGGATCAATTTGCACACCTGTTGCATCCACAATGTGGCTTAAGAATTTCACTGTCTCTCGTGAAAATTCACATTTGCTGTTGAGGGTGAGGCCAGCTTCCACAAAACGCTGCAACACTGCTCTCACCCTAGTGTCATGTTCTGCTGTTGTCGCTTCATGTATCAGAACATCATCCATGTGGCAGATGACTCCTTCCAGACCCTCCAGGATACCCGACATTGTGCGTTGGAATATCTCAGGAGCGGATGTGATCCCGAACGGTAGCCTATAGAAGCAAAACCTACCGAACGGTTTGATGAAAGTCGTCAGAAGCTTCGATTCTTCATCTATGGGCAGCTGCCAGAACCCACTGTTTGCATCCAGCTTGGTGAAGATAGTGCCTCTCCCTAGCTTAGCAAGGCTTTCATCAACTGATGTCATTGGTTGCACTTCCCGCTCTACTGCTTTGTTGAGTTGTGTAAGATCAACACAAATCCTGATTGCTCCGCTAGGTTTTGGGACTGGTACCATTCCGGAGCACCATTTCGTAGGCTCTGTAACAGGAGATATTACTTCTTGTTCTTACATCGGGTCAATTTCCTTCTTCACTTTTGGCAAGAGGGGGTGAGGAACTCTCCGAGGTGTGTAGAGACATACCGGTTTCGCTCCTGGGGATATAGTGTGATATGATACTCACATTCTAGTTCCCCCAATCCAGTGAATAGCTGTGGAAATTCAGCCCTGAAATTTGCCTGCTCCTTCAGGGTATCTCCAACTTCCTCTACTCTGACCTATAGATTCAGCTCTTCACATGCCTTTCTGCTGAGCAATGAGCAATCTTGATTCCTGACAACGTAGACGGTTTCTGACACTCTCCTGTTTTTGTGTTGGAGAATGGCTTTGATCTCTCCCAAAACTTCTAATTTTGTTTTTCCTGGTCCGCAGAGTCTCTTACCTGCAGGCTTCAGTTTCCTTCCACGAAGCCACTGTAGTCCATCTGACAGTACAGTTACCGCGGCACCACTGTCTAATTTGAAGTGCGTAGTGTTGCCATCTACTTGAAGATAGCACCCCAATAGTTCTTGCTGGTGTCCTTAATCTCACCCAGGAAAACAGTCTCCACCTCAAGGGAATCCTCCAACTCATGCACTGTATTCTTTGCTCCAAATGATCAACTGCGGCATATACCGCTCGAAAGTGACCTATTTTTCCACACTTATGACATGTAGCCTCTCGGGCGGGGCAATTGGCACGGTCATGCTTCTGTCTGCCACAAAACATACAACTACCTTGCATTTGACTTGTACGTGTGTCTTGCTGACTGCGTTTTGGTCTTACATTTGTGTCAGTTACATTTCTTTGTTTTACACTGTCGCTCATAAAGTTGGAATATTTTTGTTTACCCCAATTTATGGAATTATTTTAATAATAATTTAAAAATAATAGATCTAGATAATAGTATACATTCTCTGATTTTATTGAATGATAATTTGACAATGTGTGTTTTGCGTGACTGCTAAAACATGTGTATGCTACTATGCTTATCAACTAGGGGACCTACGCCCTTAAGTCTTAAATGACAGTAATGAGGATTAATGCCCCACAAAAGGGCACTAATATAGCACATCGACACGGTTTTGATCCTGGGGCCTCACAGTTACGAGGCCATTGCTTTGTCACTGAACCATGACTGTACGCAGTGGGGGCTAAGGCAGGGGGCAGTTTCCATAAATAAAAAAAAACAAAGAAAATGCAATAAATTTTCAATAATTTATTGCATTTTACCCCGGTCCCCAACATAAAAAAATCCTCTGGACGGCCATGCATTATGGCTCAAGGCATGGACACACAGACGGTGTACTTGCTCTACATGTACGTGGGCAACATCAGCATGCATTCTTTCACCTCGAACAACTGGTCTTTTTGCTTTTCGAGCTTCTGCTTTCCTGCTTACTTGAACAACCTTCTCTAATGTCAAATCATCCTTCGCTTGGAGTTGATCAGACAATCCATCATCCAGCACACCGACAACTATCCTATCTCAGATCAGTTCATCTTTTAATGTTTTGTACGTACTCACAATCTTGAGCTAGCCGATATAAATCGTTAATGAAAGTATCTACACTTTCCCCACACATAGGAGCATCACTATCCTGGCTGTGTAGTAAAAGCTGTGCTTTTGATTCTCAACATTTCAAACACCACTGTACAAAACTCAACTGATTTCACTCAATATCGGTACTTTAGTGACAATTGATGACACCTAAATGGCAGTAAAATACATTTTTTCAACTTAGGGTCTACTGATGTTAAAAAGAATAATTTAAAAATTCAAATTGTAAGTCTACTGTCAAACTTTGCTTTCAGCCGCATCGACATGATTGTGTGCAGGCTATGCAATATTGTGTGGTGTGTATATTTGTGTATAGGTCTAATAATACCTGCCTCACAGCAAGTATGCAGTGCTAGAGGTCTATACGCATTAGCATTGACTCTCTATGCTTTGCTCGAGTGCACTTTCCCCAGGCTGCTGGCTACGCTACGCCTGTTAAACTTTGCCCTTGCAACGATAGCTGTTCTTTCTTATGTTGAAATGTGCTTCGAATGCTGCCACAAGGCTCGTGTAAGTTGCGGTGCTTTCATCAATACACCGAGTCATAATAATGTCGTCCGCACAGTCACAGTCAGGCATGTACAACAGTGTACTGACCTGTTCTCCATCCGGCTGTGTAGCGAGCCCCGATGCAGTTCGATAGCGTTTGAACCTTCAGTACCATTTTGGCCATGCATCAGCTTGATTCAGGCCGGGAACCTTCACAAAAGTCTCTGGTAATGGGAGTGATTTTTCCATGATTCAATTTTTTACTGCTGCTACCATATTGTGATGGTTAGACTGCCTTACAATTAGGCCTAAAATAAAAACTTGTTGCATTGCCCTTTGCGACCGACCCAAAAATCTGAAAATCTACGGTCGGCATTTAACCGTTTTTTAAATTTTTTAATATTAATTAATAAAAAAATATGTATTTTGTTTGTTTAAATGGGTATAAATGCATAAAATCAAATTATTCCAAAATTCTCACTCGTGCAAACCATGGATAATTATAAGGTGAAAAAGATATCAATGGAATGAAGACGCTGAAACACATGTATTAAAGCATTAAAAACTGAGAAATATCAGCTAAAAGAGGGCGGGAAAAAAACGGGAAAAAACACAAAAACATTCAAATCTGAACAAATATCGGCCCAGACAGGGCGACAAACTTTTCTGACCGACCGACCCATGTTTTGGCACCCAAAGGGCAATGCAACAAGTTTTTATTTTAGGCCTTACTGTAAGTCAACAGACGAGGCGGTGAGATGTGAGACGCGACGTGGACAACTCAACATCGACTACCAATCTCACACCAACCCTAAGCCAGACAGACGTAGACGACGACACTCTAACCAATTTGAAATTCGCCACACACACTAATTCGGCCGTCTATGTCAACTCATATTTCCCAAGGACTGTAAAGACATGGAACAACCAACAACAAGCTTTAAAAATGCAGTTCCTAAAGAACTTTTTCCAAAATGTAATCGTCCACCTTCCACCACCTCCAGTCAAAACTCTTCTTTGGAGTATTTAGGAGGAAAAGAATCCAAGATCCAAGATCTAGGTTCAACCATTTAATACCACACAGCCCAGTCGTCTCGTTTCTGGCGAAGTGTAGTCTTATTTCAAGCAGTTACAATGATGCACATTATATACTACAAGAATTAGGGGCGGAAATACTGATTATGGTTGCATATCAGCTGCAAGCAATACAGCTGATGTTAGTGTCACCTGGGCCTGTTGCATAAAACGTACCATTGATGGTAACTTTGTCATCAATAGCAACTACCATGGTAACAGGGCTCAACAGCCAATCAAAATCAAGGTTTCCATGGTAGTTACCAATACCATTGATGGCAAAGTTACCATCAATGGTAGTTAGTTTTGTGCAATGGGCCCAGGGCCCTATCTCATAAAACTTGGTATCAATAAGAAGTAACGATAACTGTTATAAGCTACTGAAATTTTGGCAATTGATTGGCTGAGGGCAAATTTGTCATAGAAATTTAGCACTTTGTTATTGATAACAAGTTTAAAGAAACAGGGATTGGAAGTGTATCTATCTTGAGCAGCAAATGCCATACTGCAGAGAACTGTGCAACACATGCTCGATCTGAAGATAGTTCCTACATTGACTGAATGTCTCATTTCAACCCTCAGCCAAATAATTTAGCTGACTCTATCCTACTCTAAAACCAAATTGCGATACTGACATTATAACCTACATGTTTGATGCAAGACAGCCCGAGTCAATTAGACCTAATGCTAAATTATTGATTTCCTGACTACCCGTCTTCCTAATTTTGTAACCAGGATTTGTAAACCTTTACGTAAGTTTAATACAAAAGATATAATGAACATGTATACGATAGCGTCAGCTGGAATATTATGGTTGTTACTGCAATTAAAAATATAAAACACTAGCGGCCTTATCGCAGCGGTAGAGAATTTGTTTAGGACAGATTACTAATGAAGAGTAAAACGTCAACTGCAAACCTCATACAGCATTTCATGGATATATCAGTGCATAAGTGTGGGAACTTGTATCCTTTAACACAGAGTTTAACACCCTTCCGGCTCTCGAACAACACACGATATAATGACCGACAATTAGCTCCAGAGTTGCCATTCTGTCCTTCAAAAGTCAAAATGTCAGACCAACTCCACTTACGCTGCATGTTCTTCCATGTTAGCTATCTGGACAGAATCCTTCTCCTTGGATGCCATACCCTTGAGCATCTTGCTCCCGGCCAGCGCTGATGCTATGAATTCACTGCCCTCTAGCTCGTCCCAGAAGAGCTTGGCCATCTCATGATAATTCTGCAAGATGGCAAAGACAAATAGCTCCCTCATGGGAAACTCAAACTGGTTGGTCTGCAAGACCTTCTTCATATCTGAAATTGAACCAGATAGAAATATTGATTGATAGAGGAGATTGATTTGATTTGATTTTGATACCATTTTTCATTCATTTCAAATCTTTTTACATGCATGGCCACAAAAAATGAATCATCATCCAATAGTGTCAGATCCTTTTGAGGAGGGTATTTGACTGGTAAGTATTGGAAATAAAAATGCCACAATGCAAACACAAAGAAACGCAAAACCTAATTTTGAGTATTTCATCTTTAAATATATTGTTTCTAGTAATTCTAAATCCATATAGAATGTTGATATTCAACATTATAAGGGGTATAATTAGCATAACATTAAAACTAAAACATAGTTAAATCATATTGGTTGGTCTGTGAATTCATTATGCTATAGAATAGTGAGGAAACCAACATCCCAGAAGGGAAAAACGGATAAACTTCAAATGACCCCCCTCCCCCCCCCCCCCATTTTTTGTGTGTAATACTGCAAAATAAAACAAGTCAACGCAAAGCGTAGCATCCCCTCGCAGGGTACAAATGGTCTATATACGTCAGAACAAGTTACCTCCAGTGGACTATACTATTATTATACAGTATTACTAGGCAAGGAAGCTAACCACATTTTCACATATATAATTAGGTGTTTTTGCATATTTAATGAGCTATGACCTTTCACCTTTGACCTACATACTCAGAAATCGAACTTGGGCTGTACATGTACCTTCATATTAAATTTCATTAAAATTCATCAAACATTACTCAAGTTATCGAATGGAAACCAGATTCACATATTTAATGAGCTATGACCTTTGACCTACATACTCCGAAATCGAACTTGGGCTGTGTTTTGATACCATGATCCTTCATATCAAATTTCATTAAAATCCGTCAGACAATACTAAAGTTATGGATCTGAAACCAGATTCGCATATTTAATGAGCTATGACCTTTGACCCACATACTCCGAAATCGAACTTAGGCTGTGTTTTGATACTATAAACATTCGTTTCAAATTTCATCAAAATCCATTAAACAATACTAAAGTTATGGATCGGAAACCAGATTCGCATATTTAATGAGCTATGACCTAGGACATACGTACTCCAAAATCGAACTTAGCCTGTAATTTGATATCATGTATCTTCATATCCAATTTCATTAAAATCCGTCAAACATTACTGAAGTTATCGATCGGAAACCAAATTTGTTACGAACACACGGACGGACGGACGGACGGCAGCGTTTCTATATCCCCTCAGACTTTGTCGGCAAGGGGATAATAAATTGTATATATTGTAAATGCTGTAAGATGTATGATGATGAAACATGTTATCTTCAATATGCAACCATAATGTTCATGCAGGTGTATTTAATATGATAATATGTGATGTAAATTGATTTTTAATCAATTTGATTTATCACAAAGTTCCTTTTTAAAAGATAATAATTACACCCAACCCTCACCAGACATATGACACAGTATTTGAGATACAGCTACATCTAGGTTTTAATCTGGTCCCAAATATGCATTTGATGCATATACTGAACAGAGCTCAGTTCATGAGATGTGGAACTGTTTCAAGATCAGCCTGCTAAACATGATGGACAGCCACGTACCAGCGAAAATGACATCCACTCGCTTTAGTCAGCCATGGGTCACAAGGTCGGTGAAACGGTCATCAAGGAGGAAAAAGCGGGCCTTCAATCATGCCTTGGCGACTGACAAGACAGGAGGATTTCAACAGATACCGTGAGATCAAGAAATCAACTCAAGCAGCCTGCAAACAAGCTTACAGTGAATACATCAACAACATCATCAGTCCTGACTCCAAGGCAAACCCCAAGCGATTCTGGAGTTTCATCAACAGTAAGAGGAACGACCGTACTGGAGTAGCCCCACTGAAAGACACCAATGGGATTACACAATCAGGCAGCAAGGAGAAGGCCAACATGCTGAATCACCAGTTTGCATCAGTGTTTAACAGGAATGAGGACATGTCAACCATGAAGGATAAAGGACCAAGTCCATTTCCAGACATGGATGACATCCAGATCTCACCAGCTGGTGTCTACAAACTGCTTTCGTCTCTCCAGGTACATAAAGCTACTGGACCAGACAAACTGCCTGCACAACTACTGAAGACGCTGTCATTGGAAATAACTCCAGTGTTGACTATGCTTTTCCAAGCTTCGCTGAATCAAGGAGACGTCCCAGAGGACTGGAAGAAGGCAGACGTAGTTCCCATCTTTAAGAAGGGAGAGCGGTGCCAAGCAGTCAACTACAGGCCAGTGTCACTGACATCTATTATCTGCAAGACACTGGAACACATCGTATGTAGCAGTATCCTTGAGCACCTTGATGACTTTAACATTCTGTCAGATGCTCAACATGGATTCCGGAAGAGACGGTCTTGCACATCCCAACTTCTCCTCACTATTCAAGATCTTTCCAGTGGAATTGACTCGAGAGACCAGATAGATGTAATCCTGTTGGACCTATCAAAGGCTTTTGATAAGGTTCCGCATGGAAGACTCCTACATAAGATCCACTACTATGGAATCCGAGGTAGTACCCATAACTGGGTTGAGGAATTCCTTGCAAGACGCTCACAGAGGGTATTGCTTGATGGATGCACTTCTCACACCTCTCCCGTCCTGTCGGGCGTTCCCCAAGGCAGTGTAGTCGGGCCTCTTCTCTTCCTGCTGTTCATCAATGATCTTCCTGACTGCATATCAGCGAAGTCTACAGTGAAATTGTTTGCAGATGACTGCATATTGTACAGGAAGGTGTCAAGTGCAGATGATGCTGAATGCCTGCAGAAGGACTTAGATGCACTCCAGGAATGGGAAGCAGACTGGCTAATACAATTCCACCCTCAAAAATGCCAGGTTATGCATGTCTCTAGTAAAAGGCAGACATCCAAAGCCTCCTTTCCTTACTTCATCCATGGAGAGCAGCTACATGTAACAGAAACTGCAAAGTACTTGGGGGTCCATATCCAGAGCAACCTGAAATGGAATCACCATGTAAACGTCACCACCAAAAAAGCCAACTCTGTACGGTGCTTTCTGCAAAGAAACATGGGGGCCTGCCCACAGAAGACCAAGGAGTTGCTGTGCAAGACATTAGTACGCCCTGTGATGGAGTATGCTGCAATAGTGTGGGACCCGTCCACCCAGGAGAACATCAGAAAGGTGGAAATGGTGCAACGCCGTTGTGCACGCTTCGTCCTGGGTGACTATCGGCGCAGAAGCAGCGTCTCAGCCATGCTGAATCAACTTAAATGGGTAAGTCTGCAGGAAAGAAGGGCTCAGCAGAAAGTAGGCATGGTTTACAGCATACTCCATGGCCTGGTTGATCTTCCAGTCACCTACTTCATACCCGTTGTTGGTCCCAGCACCCGTGGAAATCCACAGAAATTCCATGTCCCCTTTGCCCGAACTCTGCTATTCCAAACCACATTCTACCCAGATACTATCCGACTGTGGAACTCCTTACCATCTGCTGTCGTCGATTGCACCTCTTTGGAACTTTTCAAGCAGAAGGTGCAACACATCAAGCTCCGTTGAGCTTCAGACTGTTTTTTAGCTGCACATAGAATTCTTGTAGAACCTTTTTACTTGCACTGTACACTCGGCACTTGACAAACACAAGGTATGATAATACGCCAACGGCGGACTGTACTTTACTGGAAGAAGAAGATGTGATTTATAATAATATGATGAAATAAAATCATAGCATGCAGAGTAACTTTGACTATTTTGTTTTGAAATCCTATTCCAACAGTTTCTGTAAAAGAGCTGTGTGATCCTTACTTAGTGTGTTAGAAAGTACAAGAATGATTGAATTAATTAGCTGTGGCTATTGGTACTTTGTATCAAAAATCATAAAGATGCAATTCAGTCATGTTAAATTAATGCAATACAACTTTGTTAGTAGTTTATGACAATGGCAAAGACAGGCATATTCTCATGTTTTTAATATCTCTTCCCCCCCCCCCCCCCCTCAATGATAGTGTTCACAAAACTACTTTGATTGTCATGCACAAAGATAAATGTTAATTGTATACCCATGGAGTGGAAAATAAAAAGGTGGCTTTTCCAAATAAAATATAAAATATAAAATAATATTGATCCGTGAGTATCTCTGCTTAATTTTGCGAGAGATCAGCACATAAATATTATATTTAATTAGTTTTAAAATGTAGGTAAATCTGTAAAATAACAGATCTGTTATTTTACAGATTTACCTACCATCCGTTAATTAATGGAAAGCATGATTTTTGAATTTGCATAATTTGACACTTGTAAGTGAAATGGATGAAAACAAAATGTTCACTTACCTTAGCATTTAAAAAAATAAACTAGATGGACCTTCGACTGAGCGCAGTCGAAAATGATGCCTCCGCCATAGAGCGATTACACAAACCAAATCAGAAGCAATTTTTCAAATTCAAGTTTAATTGTAATCCATTAACAGGTTCTCAGAATATCGTGATTACAAGCTGTTTTTCATATACATTTATGACCCTTTTATCTTTGACTTCATGACCCTGAAATCTAATCAGTTAATTGGCTCTGCAAGATACACACATGTCCTGAGTTTGATAGTAATCCATCTGTCAGTTCTAATGAGAATGCGTTCACAAGTTTTTTTTCACATACATAATGAGCACCATGACCTTTGACCTTTGACATTATGAACCCAAAATCTACTCAGTTCATTGGTTCTGCAAGATAAATATGGTTTCGAGTTTGATGGTAATCCGTCCATCTGTTCTAATGATAATGCGATCATAAGGTTTTTTTGCATACATAATGAGCCCTGTGACCTTTGACCTCATGACCCCCAAATCTATTCAGTTCATTGGCTCTGCAAGATACATTCATGATCTAAGTTTGGCGGGAATCCATCGATGGGTTCTTGAGATAATGCGATCACGAGCTGTTTTGAATACATAATTAGCCCTATGACCTTTGACCTTGTGACACCAAAATCGAATCAATTCATCGGCTCTGCAAGATACATACATGACTAAAGTTTGGCAGGAATCCATCAATCGGTTCTTCAGATAACGCGATCACGAGAACGGGACGGATGGATGGACGGACAACCCGAAAACATAATGCCTCCGGCTACTTCGTAACGGAGGCATAAAAATAAAAATCCAGATATCGTGTCGATATATCGCGTGGAGCCAGTTACGAAAATCTACATATGGTAATTGACCTATCATCACCGATGTCATTGTATGCTTCATTTTGTTTGGGTGCATCCTGCCTGATGCCATCATCCAAGAGGACATACACACCTGAATCTCGCAGGTAAAGGGGCTGGTAGGTTTCAAACATCAGGTCGCGGATAACCTTGCCCACATGTTTAAGGTTGAACTCGTCAGTGGAGTACTGCATGCATAAATACGAGGTGAAAAATTTGATAGTATACAATATGATGCGCAGGTATAAGTAGGTCGGTAGGAATTGTGTGCACCGTAATTAACTTTGGGCATGGTTTAAACACACGAGGCGTAGCCGAGTGTGTTTTAGACCTGCCCAATGTTACCGCATGCACACAATTCCACCAACCCACTAAATCAAACTGCGTATCATCTGTTTTATAGAATTGACTTTATTTTAAAAAATTATGAAAAAATAAAAATAAAAAAAAAACACAAAAATTACCGGATGCATGATATCATTTTACCAGACGCATGAAACCAAATAAAAAAAAAATTAAAAAAATTATTAAAAAAAATTATTTAAAAAAAACATGAATCCAGTAAAATTATCTTCATGGTAATTGACCAATCAGATTGCAGGCATTCTTCTACCCATTCTATAATATGACACGTGCCACAGTGACAAATGCTCCCAAATCATACTTAAGTCGCACTAATGAGACCGACGACAGACTGATAATACACAGAATAAGAATTTATGTTCCAACATATGGCAACGGATTGCTCAGTGTGGTGGAGTCAGTTTAGAGGCGGTTTGGCAGTGTGACTTAGATATTAACTTCTAACACTAATTGAATATTTTACTTCCGACCTGCATGGACCTAAAACTATTCTTTAAAGTTACCCTAAACTAATCCTGCTCTTGAACTTAAGCTTTATTACCAACTTTAACCCTAAACTTATACCGTCATGAAATAATATCTGAACCAAATATTGGATCAGTGGATTAAGCACAGAGGTGTACATTCTAGAGTTCATACTCGGACGTTTACTTGAGGACATGCTTAGATAAATATATTGAATTGTTAGATGCGAGTAGATACAATAATGCCCTACCTCTCCTCTATGTTTCTCCAGCTGCTCATACAGGAGTGAATTGGATCGAATCTGTGAAAAAGAAGGAAATGGATCTATTTATAGATAAACTGCAGCTTATCATGCTATAATGATGATTAACATTGCTCAATTTTTTAATTTGCCATTTTCGAAATTTACATGGATTCATAACTAGTGCTCAAGTGTGAATGTCTTATTTTCTAAAAAGTTTGTTAATGCACTTGTAACAATTTTGTCATCCATTTATCATTATCCTCTTAAAGCTCAATCATTTAATTCCCAACAGTAAAATCAGTCCAAAGTAACGTTTCTTTTGTACTTGTAATACTTAGGGACTGCAATGTCTAATTTTAGAATCAATTATACATATATAAAAAAATCCTCTCTATGTTTATTGATCTACAGTATTAATATTTGGAAATCTACTTTTAATAAACTCTTTGTGTAAATAACCAGACAACTATTATTGCATGTGTTGTGATTCCGAGATTTATAACCAAGCATGACTTTAAAGTTGACTCACGGAGAGTACCTGATAGGTGAAATTTGACAATTTCAAATACTTCAAATTTCAGATACCTCATTGTAGAGAATGGTCAGTTCCTTGATGGTCAAATAGTCCTTTAGATTGACCCCTTGCTCCAAGAAAAGTTCAATGAAATTGGCTTGGTTATTGGACAAGGCATAACGCAAGGATTCATCCAGCTGCCCTTTCTGCAAAGCAAGAGACAAGATAAGAATTAATTTAAGTTCTTTGACAATAAGAATGGTTCACTTGCTAATTCAAGTTCAAAAACTTTATTTGATATTCCTTTGATTATGTTGATGGTAATAAATGTGTTCAAATTTCATATACTGATCCACCTTAGAGTTAGTACACTTTCACTATTTTTTTTTTCCTGGAGTTCACTTTTAAAAAGTTATTCAAACATTATTCTTAGTCAGACCATCAGCACCGTAGTATGAAAATCCAGAATGAGGAACAGGTCTTACCCTGCACTCTCGATCATCAACGAAGATCTCTCGCTTAGCAACGTCAACACGGTTCCAGATCTGAGCAAGAAGAAGCTGGTCCTGAATCCCTCCCTTGTTCGCTAAGGGAAGAAGAGGTCCAAATAAATAAAGAATATCGCTGGTATGCCTCTCCTACATGTACATTTAACCATTTCAATTGAAGTCTTGCTTTGACAATTAATCTTGTTACAATATTTAAAAGGCCATGGGATTAAAGCTTCTGTGGAAATCTATTTAAGATATTGGCAAAACACCTTGTGTGACAGGTATTTTGTCAAAAAATAATGCAGATGGTTTGAATCATAAGATCATGCATGGTGGTAGTGCTGACAATGGTGGTGATGGTGATGATAGTGAAGTAGTTGATTATAATAATGATAATGATGATGATGATGATGGTGGTGATGATGATGATGATGATGGTGGTGATGATGATGATGGTGATGATGATGATGATGATGATGATGATGATGATGATAATGATAATGATGATGATGTTGATGATGATGATGGTGGTGATGATGATGATGGTGGTGGTGATGATGATGATGATGATGATGATAATGATAATGATGATGATGTTGATGATGATGGTGATGATAATGATAATGATGATGATGTTGATGATGATGATGATGGTGGTGATGATGATGGTGATGATGATGATGTTGATGATTATGATGATAATGATAATGATGATGATGGTGGTGATGATGATGATGGTGGTGATGTTGTTGATGAGCATGATGATGATGATGATGATAATTACCATGATTACATCAATAGTGATGAAATGTACCTTTAAGGAGAGCGTGAAGGATAGCACCATCAATGTCCATGGTGGCACTGGCACCCAGCTCATAGACGGTAATAAGACGCTTGTCCTGAATGCAGGCCTCGATACGAGTGAGGTGAAGGTCCAACTGTTTCTCTCCGAACTCCTTCTGGATCATTTTGGCCACTTCCACTCTGACCATCTCTGGCATCACGCTCCTCACTCTGAAGATATGATGATAAACATTTCATTATTAATATTTCATTTCATTCATATCAAAGACATGTCATGATATTTTCTTTCTATGAATGAAATGATCGGGGATTGTTCAAATACGATAATATCTTGATACTCCTGAAGCATCATTAAGTCATGGCTTCTGTCTAAGAATAATATAACTTTGTACCGCAGTTCTTTCTCTCTCTCTCTCTCTCTCTATCTCTCTTTTTCTCCCTTTCTTTCTCTCCTACTTGGTACTTGGTTGGGTAATCCCTTTGGCAGCTCACTCAGGAAGCTATACTGGGATGGTAGGTGAGGCAAGTGACTACAAGGAGTGTCATGAATTGCTGGAATGGTGTGTGGACAAAGCACTTGTCAATTTACAGTAAAATATGCTAAGTCCAGTGCAAGTAAAAACCAAGCTAGTAAGCTTATATGATGTGAGAACCAACGGGGGGCTGCATCATTCTGATGGAGGGTAGAGCAGCCTCCTTGAAGTTGGTTATTCCTGTTGCATTGACTGCTGAGCCTGGCAGATGGTTCCAGATCCTTATTGCTCTTGGGTAGTATGAGAACTTGAAGGAGTCGATAGTTGCAACAGGAATTACATACTTCAGGTTGTGGTCATGTCTTCCGAAGTATGTAGCAGGGATAACAATAGTTGGTGCAGGTATGGGGACAAGTCGGTGATGGATCTTGTAGAGAAGGGTGCATTGGTCGAGGATTCGACGTGTGTGAAGCGTGTCCCACCCTAGAGCTGCCACAAGAGCTGATGGTGATGTGGTGTATCTGTAGTCACGGTACACAAAGCGAGCCGCTGTTCTTTGTACTTGCTCTAGCATTTTTGTGACCGTGACGCTGTGTGGGTTCCAAGCCTCCGAGGCATACTCCAATTGGGGGCGCACTAAGGCTGTGTAGGCCCTGGACTTTACATCCCTGGTACAGGGTGAGAGAGTCCTGCAAAGAAGACCTAGAGTACGGCTTGCTTTATGCCGGATGGTTTGGCAGTGCTTGTTCCAACGGAGATCAGCAGCAACCGTTACTCCAAGGTACTTGTACTCTTTCACTCTCGGAATCAGTCCATTTGACAGGTGGTATTCTCGGATGCTGGGAGTACGCTTCCGTGTGATGGTGAGGATAGCGCACTTTTTCACGTTGAAGTCCATCATCCAGTTTGAAGACCACCTGGACAGCTGTTGGAGATCGTCCTTTAGGATTTGATGGTCCTCAGGGCATCGAATCTCACGATAGAGGGTGCTGTCATCTGCGAAGAGACGCATTGTGGACTGGATGTTGTCTTGGATATCGTTGATATACAACAGGAAGAGGGTAGGGCCGATGACGGATCCCTGGGGGACTCCTCACTCTATGCATAAATCTAACAGGGTGCAATAAAGTAGCCAGGATTTATAAGGTTCACTCTGCCAGGAAACCATACTGATATGAAATGACTTCTCATACAGAACCGGAAAATGCAGGTAGGACAGTAATAGGGCATCTAACATATAAAGCCTGAGAGTATTGAAGAAGAATCTTTTCTTTCAAACCCCCCCCCCCTCTCCCTTCCTCTTTCTGTGATTATGACCTTCCTCACTTAATCTCTTTTCCTCCCTTTCTTTCTATCCTCCTAAAATGAGCTACCAACCTATCATAGTGTATGTGACCCTGATGCCAAGGTACAAGGTGCAGACAGGGTTTGTACTATAAAAAACACAATGTTTACAAATGACAGAGGGACTGACATTGACTACATGTAGGCTTTAAACTGAATTAGATTTCACCATACAGACATAAATCAACATATTACTCTTCTAAATAGTAGCAGGAATATGGTTCCTTTGTGGGCTTGTCCAAGAAAGAAGACAAATATATTTGAAAATGTATGATAGCAAATTGCAACAACAAAAAATAGTAATATTGAAAAAATGTAAATTCTAGTCACAAGTGAAAATGCAATTTTACAATTTCAAATTAGAATTTAACACATTCACCCAATGCCCAAAATGTATTATTCAAAAAGAGAATGAAGTTCACTCTTACTTATCTTATCTTGTAATAATTAGAAAAAAACTTCCAAGAATTCATAACTAACTTATTCGAAATTGAAATACTCAACCTATAAAAGAGTATGACATAAAATCATCTCTTATCCAAATTCCATTCCATTATAGATGGAACTTCGACTGCGCGCAGTCGAAAATGATGCCTCCGCCAAAGAGCGATTTCACAAACCAAAACAGAACCAATTTTTCAAATTCAAGTTTAATAGCAATCCTTTAAGAGGTTCTCAGAATATCGTGATTACAAGCTATTTTTCATGTATGACCCTTTAATCTTTGACCTCATGACCCTAAAATCTAATCAGTTCATTGGCTTTGCAAGATACATACATGTTTTGAGTTTGATGGTAATTCGTCCATCGGTACTACTGCATACATGCCAACATTTGAAAATCAGAAATCTGTACAAATTATGATATTTTCAAAAAAAAGAGGAACAATCCTAACTCTCCTATTCAATACTACAGACAAATTTGTACAGGAAGAGGAACACCTGCATTAAAATGATAATTATCTTCTCCAAAAAAGAGGAATGTTCCTCTTTAATCTGAACAGTTGGCATGTATGCTAATGATAATGCAATCACAAGCTATTTTTACATACATAAGGAGCCCCATGACCTTTTGCCACATGACCCCCAAATCTATTCAGTTCATTGGCTCAGCAAGATACATACATGTCCTGTGTTTGATGGTAATCTGTCCACCGGTTCTAATGATGTGATCACCAGCTATTGATGCATACATAATGAGCCCTGTGACCTTTGATCTTTGACCTCGTGACCCCAAAATTTAATCAATTCATTGGCTCTGCAAGATACATACATGACCCAAGTTTGGCAGGAATCCATCAATCGTTTCTTGAGATAACGTGATCACAAGCTATTTTTGCATACATAATGAGCACTGTGACCTTTGACCTCGTGACCCCAAAATCTAATCAAGTCATCGGCTCTGCAAGATACATACATGACCTAAGTTTGGCAGGAATCCATCAATCGTTTCTTGAGATAACACGATCACGAGAACGGGACGGACAACCCGAAGACATAATGCCTCCGTCTACTTCGTAACGAAGGCATAAAAATTAAGAAAATCAAAGAATAAATATGTATAGTCTCACAACATATTCTAATGCATAATAAGCAAATAGCCCTTTAGAAATTGAAAGCAAACAAATAGTCAATATATTTATTTAGATTGAAGGAATTGTATGGTTGAAAACACAGATAACAAATATACACTGACTTTTGAAGTGGGTGTACATCAGCAATATCTGATGTGGAAGTGAGTAATGTTGGAAATGTCACACCTTATTTTAACATTGTGGGAATTACATGAAGTTTTACCGAATCTAAAAGCAACAATTTTGCCTGAACAGATAATGTAAATGTCAGCATATATGCACAAACAAAAATATACAGAGACTTACTCATGTAATAAAACTGTGTTAAATGAATCAAGCGCAGCTTTTTGTAAGAAGGAATACAAATATTGATACTAATTAAACCTGGTTATGAACAAACATTCTCTTTCATTATATATCTGATTCGATTCCTCTTTCTATATCTCGCTCACATGCTCCCTCTTTTCTTTTCAATCTTGCTTTTACCTCCTATTTTCTTTCATTCTCTCTTCCTCTCCATTATATTTTCCTTCCCTATCTTCCCTCATCATCATTCCTATTTTTCTTCTTGGTTAGTTTAGTCCAGTCTTTTTTTAATGTCAGCCACCCCCTCCTCTCTCTCTACTTATATACTGTCTACTCATCTCAGTTTCTCTTCATAATTAGCTACAATGTATCATATACATGTACTAATATCAGAGGTGATATAAATAGGATAAGGATATAAATAGGATGAAGAAATGAAAGAGCAACAATGAACCAATATTAGAGGAAATACCTAACTTGAGAAGATACATGTAAAAGAGCTATCACATACCAATATTAGAAGAAATATTTTTCAGGATTAAATGGACAGTTGAGTTCTTGTCTAAGACCACAAATGCCTTAAAAGTGCATGGTTATTGCTCTTATTCTTATTTATGACATTTTTAGTGCCCTTTTAGGACCTAAAATTGCTACAAAGGTAATGTAAAGGGTTAGGAAATTACCCTGTGACCTGTAGAGGGCGGAGTGCTAAGACAAGCCGGCACTCTTTGCTTGGCCCTCTCACAGGTGAGTTGACCAAACTTGAACCACTGTTATGTCTAGTAAATATTAATATTGTTATGCTAGAGATTTGTTATGTACATATGTGTATTGTGTCAGAACGATTTCAGTAGTTATTTTGATGTATCATGTGGGTTGATATGATTATATTGGAAACAAGGATTTAATGTTAAACTGTGTGATGCTTAGCGCTTTGATTTGTTATATGCATTTACATTGTAGTACATGGTTATGTACACTAATAAGTTGAACGCGCGGTACCAAAATTGGGTGTAGTGCGTGCGCGCTAATGTTGTCCCAGGGCCAGGACCAGGACCAGGGTACGCTCTAATTGATGTGATGAGTATAAGTCTTGGTTTAGGAATGAGGTCAGTAAGAACGGTAGGGAGCATAGAAAAGAAGTGCTTATAATAGAAGTTAAGTGTTTAAAAGTATTGCATGTTGTTTGTATTTTGGTTGCTAAGCTAGGGGATATTAATTATGGCACTTCAAACAGTGAAGATCGAACTTTGTCTGACTATGTAGCCATTCCAGGGTTTCTAGCGCCCTCTATCATTGTAAACCTTATTTCTCATTTTGCAGATTGCTATAAAAGAATATTGTTACATGTTAAATTGAGATGGAATAATAGGAGTAAGAGCAATGTTTAGGGTTAGACCAGGAGATTATTGGAGTTTGTTTGGAAGTAAGAAAAGTATGGAAGATAAATATATGAATGTGTTGCTCTATATGAGGTTTATATTGACTGTTACTTCTAGTTGTTTAAGTATTTGGGTCAGGTATTTACCTGTGTTAATGTTGAGAGTTTCAACTATATTGTACTGTGGCAATTGTTTTTTAAAGGGCAAATTTACTCGTTTAATATTTGATAACATGACTTGTTTTGGGGAATGCATGATCTCCATGATGATCGGCATTAGTGATATGTAATGTGTCTGTTACTGGTTACTACTAATAAAGACTCTTTGCTTGGCCCTCTCACAGGATCTGTCTGTCATTGATTTCGAGTTCTCGACCACCTCACAACTGGCGACGAGGATGGGATTCGAACCCAAGTGGACGGCGGCGTGTGCAACAGCAACATCATCGACGAGGGTGACAAGACCATGTCCGGAAGACCTCGCAAAGAGTCAAGTAGATATGTACGTCAAGAACTCGTATAGTTTTAGAAGGAGTGCTGTTCATTGAATAATAGTCGTGGAACAATAATAGTTAGCCTGGACACATTGAACATAATTTAGCAATGAGTGATAGAGCGACGACGATGTGCATGGCAAGGTGGTGAAAGAACATTGCTTCAAGAACTTGCTTCGAGAACTTACTTTAAGAATGTATTTTAAGTTTTAAGATAGTTGTTTTTATTAAAGATTGATATTGCTACATGTAGGTATTGGGGAAAATGTTTTTAACTGAAGTGAGTAGATGTGGTTGAAGAGTATTACTTTTATGGAAAGGTAATTAATTATTCTTGATATTGATGTTATTGGAAATTTGAGAGTCGGTCAAGTTTTGAGAATGTTTAGATTCAATAGATTTATTTTTTGAAGTCGGTTTGGAACATGTGATAGTACCTTGGTTATTGATATTGAAATCCTTCGGAAGGTGTTATAGTTTAAAGGACTAATTTCTAAGTGAATATATTTCATGATTTAAATCGAAGTTTTTGAGACTAAGATATATATTAGGAGAGTTTTTGTATGCAATTGGAACATAGCTTGTTAATTTTTTTGTTGATACTCGCCGATATGGCTTTGTACGTTAAGATTGAAGAGGGGGGAAGGAAATTAAAATTTCCTTTGATGGGTACTGATGGGCCCCTTAGCCTGGAAGCATTACAAACCAATTTCCCAAAGGCCAAGGGGTTGGTGTATTTAGACACAGACGGGATGGAGGTAGTTGTACCTGCTATCGGGGGGAAGATCCATCCAATAGGGGAGTGGGGTCATGTCTACCGGCCACTTCTCCAACCTAAAGAGGACAACAGGGATAGTGTCCAAAGACAGTTGGAAAAGTTGCTGTCCCGCCCCCCACCCCAGATTATTATGGCACCTGAAAGAAAGCTGCCCGCATTTGGAGGCCGGCCAGGAGAGGTTGCAGATTTTGTCAACTCCATGAGGAGTGCTTTCGCCAAGTACGCCATTCCCGACCAACAACAAGGGGCATTCATCCTAGATTATCTCAAAGATGGACCGAAGATGGAGGTGAAGTCGCTAATCAGAGAGGGGAAAGGCATCGCAGATATCCTCTCGTACATTCAGGACTCGTATGCGGACCATGTCCCGGTGGGGGAGCTCCAACGACTATTCCTGGAGAGGAAGCAGCAAAAAGGAGAAAGCGTCAGAGATTTCGCGTTGGACCTTGAAAACCGTTTTCTCCGCCTCACGAGCTGGAGTGGCCGACTATATTCGGCACCAGAAGCCACCCTAGCTGAGCAGTTTATCGAGGGAATCGGCGACCGATACCTTAGGAACACCCTCCAAGATAGGTATGAGGGGGGAACATCAGTTCAATTCCGGGAACTCAGGGAGGTTGCCATTAGGAGGGAGCAGCGGGAGGAGGCCCGTTTCAAGAGTTCCACAGGAACAGTGCACCAGACGGCCCTCCAGTCACAGCTACAAACACAGACGAACCGGCCAGATGTAGTAGAGATGATGCGGGCAGTAAAGGAACTGGCCGATCGAGTCGTCGGAGCAGTTAGCGACCTAGTAACATCGCTGAAACCACCCTTGACTCGCAATGCAGAGAATGTACAATGCTTCAATTGTAGCGGTTGGGGACATTATGCTCGGGAATGTCCACATTAGAGACAAGGACTTCAAGATACCAGGGCTCGTCAAGACAGGGAACAGGGCCCCCAGTATACAGAGCAATATAGATGTTGGGCACCGAGAGGGGGACCATCTGCACCGCCACCGTTTCCCCATCCCGATGGGTGGGCATCTCATCCTGGGTAACCTTATGGGCAACCACCTGGCGGCTGGGTACAGCAGACCGGACCCTTACCAGTACCTTTGCCCAACCCGGGAGTATGGATGCCGCCACGAAACGAAACGGCCCGTCTCAGACAGGAGGGAAGTGTTGCGATATCTGCACGTCAGACAGTGGTGCTTGAAGCACAAAGTACAACTGGAACGAGTGAGGGACCATTTGAAGTGCTTCTAGAGCCAGGAGAATGTAGCGCCTTACCGGTAGGACTAGATATCCAGCCATGTTTCGTTCGGATAGATCAGGAGGCATCCCCCATCGTAATCCGCAATAAGGAAGATGAGATTGTGATCCCAAAGGCTGTCCAACTGGGTGCCCTTTGCGGCAAAGCGTCAGTCGTGCGAGAGACGGAGCAAGATGAACTGTCAGTCGAGAATCATGAGAATCCGGTTGATGTGGACTGGATGAGTTTGTATCTTGGAGAACGCACAGATCTAGAGGGTCTTCCGGAGAAACATCCTGTGTCTACTGTGATCACGTTAATGAATATACCTTGTTTCAATCCCTTTGGCTCTGAAGATTCATATCAAGTCTTCAGGATGACTATCTTGAAAAGTACTGAATATGTAAGCCCCTAAAACGCACTTCTCCTAATATGAGAATTGATCAAAAATTATTGTCAATATCAAGTAGGATTATCCACAAAATGATTTTTCCCATGACAATGTACTAGAATGTCCCTTTGCATGTCACATACAACAGCTGATGATCGATGTCTTCAGTAAGTAAGTACTCTTGACAAGTTAATGAACTTTGATCTAGCACAAGTGGCTGAAAGAGGTTTCTGTGAAGCTTTCTTCATAAATTTCATGATTCATAAAAGTTCTAGAAATTAAGTTCAGTTCCTAGTCAGATAGAACTAGTAGATTGTACCTACGTGGGACTCTTAGGTAAAAATGTTGCATTGAAACGCAAATCCAAAGATTAAACCAAGAAGTTTAATTTTGTAAAAAAGGATGCATAATTTTTTTTTTAACAAGACCCAAGAGCTTACATTTTTTTCTTTCCTTCCATTGTCTTGTACTCTTTGGTGTGTTGGAATGCATAGGCCATGATGTCTGCTGCCCTCCCTGATCCAGCAACGAAAACAACCGGGGTGCCGTTTCGGATGGCTTCATAAGCCGTCTGGATGGCGTTGGGTCCACCTTGCACGACCACACATACGATAGGTATTGACACACCTGAAAGTATAGAGATTTAATTGAAACAAATTGGCATTTTATTTTATTGGAGAGGACATTAATTATCGTGGAGAGGGAGGGAAGAAAAATAGCCATATTACTTATAGGAGTCTCTATAAGGAATTATATCCCTCATGTATAGTTGTTTGCATTGCGATTGTACAGAGCACGGAAAAGGTATAGATAAGTACTATCTACCTGAGATAGTACTTTTGTAAAGTAATTTTTTGCTGCTACCCCATTTGCCCATACAAGCCTATAGCAAAGTAGGTTACGCGAAATGCCAGTACAAGTCAACGACGCTTAAAGATAAACTTGAGTTCTGGTAAAAAAAAAAATGAATTCTCACAGAATCTAATGAAACTTACACTGAATGTTCAAGATTACAAATAAATGTCATGTGCCAAACAATTTTGGAAGAAAATGTATACTGGCTGAGTAATGAGCATAGAAAGATAAGGAAATCAGGGTAGTACTAGCCCCGACACCATGTGTGTTGTCCCATATACATCTTTCTGTGTAAGTGATTGTTACTTTACCAAGACTCTGCCAAATTTTTGATGATTTTGATGACTCCAGAACCTTGCATTACACACCATTACTTACATGCTATATGATCAACTTTTCTGATCCATTCCACACCTTTTCTTTCACAATGCAATCGCATTACCAGAACTCAAGTTTATCTTTAATTTAAAGCGTTTGAAAAGTGAAATACGCGCGCATCAACTTTATTACATGTATGCATCATGTTGTGCTTTGAACCTAAAATCGCGTAAACATGAAACAAATGCGCTGAAATTAAGCGCAATCGATGCATATCATTAGTGCGCGACAAAAGCAAAACAAATTAAAACCACTTACAATTTTGTGGCGGCGCGACTTGCGTCTTACTCTTAGTTTCTTATGCCTCGCTGTAGCTGGGCCTAGATCTAGACTTTTGTTTGCTTCTAAACATTTGTCATTTGGATAATATTGGATTATAGACTACTGAGAATGATGGATTTACATCATTGTAAGTATTTTTGTTGACTTTGCCTTTGGATCCCGTTTTGTTTAGCCTTTTTAGGCTTCAACGATCATCATGAGTGATGCGCGGGAGCACCCGAGGTTTCAACTTCTTACCGATGAACAAATGAATAATATGCTGGATAATGCTGACAGTACTAATACTAGAAGACAAATCAAATATGTTTCAAGGGTTTTTACAGATTTTCTGATGGAACTGAAGGTTGAACATATTGAAATTTTGGGACAAAAATTAACCTCCTTTACTCGGGCAATGGATACAAACTATCATCGCCTCGGCGATGATAGTTTGCACCATTACCCTCGTAGTCGATTAATATTTGCTTAATATATACATGTATCTAGTTCAACAAAGTTTCATATTTTATTTAATACTGAAGGAAATACTATATTATAATACTTTTATAAATGCTGAAAACAAAATTACTTTAAGAACTGCAATTCTTAAAATCTATTTCATTTTCTTAAATTTTAAGATTCATTGCTACATTGTTCTAAGAACTAATGTAAATTTAAGCCCTCCCATTCATTTGTGAAATGCTTTTTACCAGACTTTGAAAATGTACCAAAGTTACCCAACCCTGCTCAATCATTCTTTATCTTTCACTAACTATTAATTATCACAATATTTTATACATGTACCCGGTACATAGTACCTGCAATTTTACCACTTTTTTGGTGGTCAATTCTACATTTTAAAAGAAAATATGGCATTACACAAAGATCGATACACCAAAAATTTGTAATACAAGCACTTTGCAAACATCCTGGTATACAAAGATTGGAATATTTGGTTGATCAAAATGGGTTGTACATGTACGTCAGCCTTGAAATAGTAAAAGCTGTACTCTCCATGGTGTTGTATTTCTTCCAAGAGACAAGAAAGGTACTGGTAGTCACTTACTGTTACATAAGTAGCGTAAACTGTTTGTGTCCTTGACACAAACATGAGAACACAATAACTTTGAAATTAAAAGTCTTATTAAAGAGCACTGAAAAAGAAAGGGAACAAATATTTCAGGCATGCATGTCATTATTACAAAGTGCACTTTTACTTCCCCCCCCCCCTCCCCTTTAGAGAATTGCTCCTTAATAAAAAAAATTGTTGTTTGTTTTCATGGTTTAAACTTACCTATATATTGACAAGTCTCTATTTTATAAGGCTTATGCCGAAATGGTGGGTAGCGTCGCGTTGCGTTGACTTGAACGTGACCATTCGTCCAAAGCCACCCCCCCCCCACCCCCCCCCCCGGTTTGGCCGAAAGGGTGCGTTGGATTGTTAGGGCGCGTCAGGTCAGATAACGTGACCAAATGGCACATACAGGGGGGGGGGGGGGGTCCCTTGCCAACAGAGCGCGCGCCTGTTACGTACGCACGTCGCGGGCCGGCCCCCCTCCCCTGAGGAAAAAACAGTTAAAAACATGTTAATTTTACATCTTTAGATTGGTCCCCTCCCTTGGTGCTCAAGGGGGGGGGGGGGGGGGGGGGGGTTTGATTTTTCAAATTTTTGAGGCTCCCCCCCCCCCAACAAAACAAAACAAATTAGTGCTCACTAACCCTGTCCCCCCATTCCCCCCCCCCCCTTCCGCTTATTTACCGGCTGGCTGTTTCGCCGCTAAATATTCTCTCATGAAATTGGGCCCCCTGCCACCGGCTGGATCCGCCCCTGGGTTATATATAAATGGTATGGAATGGGGGGGGGTGGGCTTGATTAATTCAGGGGCAATCTTGCACTTTCTGCCCATTTGTCCATCTCTTTGGGAGCTTCTTCCGATCATGAATGGAGTCTAGGGGCACAGTTCAACTCTATGGTGACCCCCTCAGAAGCCTGGGGGCTCTGTCCTTCTTTTGGGGATCCCCCTCTAAGCACTAGATGCTCTTGAGGTGAGGCAGTGTAAGACATAATATTTGTGTATGCCGGATAAGGCGTTGCCATGGTAACCGCTATTTTGCTCCAAAAAATATGCCATTATGATATCAAAACCTTGTGGAGTAAACTTCTTCCACAATTTTGGAGTTATTTTGATGAAACTTGGTACACTTGATTCTTTTGAAGTAAGGATGTGCAAGACATTCTTTATGTATGCTAGATAAAGCATTGTCATGGTAATTCCAATTTTGCTCCAAAATATGCCATTTTGATATAAAAACCTTGTTGAGCGAGCTACTTTAAGTTTTTGAGCAACTTTTATGAAACGTGATGCTCTTGAGCTGAGGATATGCAATACATAGTTGTAGTGTATATTGGATAAGGTGTTACCATGGTAACGGTATTTTGCACCAAAAATATGCCATTTTTATATAAAACCCTTGTAGAGCGAACTTCTTCCACGATTGTTGAGCAATTTTGATGAAACTTGGTAGAATCTAACGTTACACATAATGATCTAAAAGTGCAAATAAGCAAGACATACATTTTGTGTATTTCAAATGAGGCATTGCCATGGTAACAGCAAATGTTTACCAAAAATGCCATTTAAAAAAAAAAATACAATTTAGATGCAGTATTAAATGTTTGCAGTAACTTGCCGTGTGAATTTGTGATGCGGGGGTATTAATCACATTAAGTGATATTTCTAGTTTTGTTTTCTCATGGCTTGTTTCCTGTGGCTATACCATATGGCATGAAAGCAGAACAAATTATCACAGTCTTAAAATTCATGCATTCTCTTATTCAATTGTATTTCCGATTAGATTCTTTATTCAACTAGAGCGGTGAAAACAGTCCGACCGAGTTTGATGTCCACTTAGTCTTACTCTTAGATCTGCTACAGCCTACTATAGGGGACCTACCCGAGCATGTGCATGATCCGAGTTCCTGATTGTTGCTGTTGTATTACAGTCGTACAGTCACAATATAACCAAACAGGTGTTTGCTTTATTGAAAAGAGGCTGCAGTGAAGAGCACTGATATGCAGACAGTACTACTTAAACTGATGTTAGAACTCTAGCTTGGATGGGGTAAAACCAAAAAAAAGCACTACTTGGACTAAAAATTCAATCATATGTCACAAATGTCAAAGGGGTGTTCCATATATATTTTTAAGATTTTCGTATCTGAAAGTAAATGAATTAATTACAACAAGGATATGTTTAAATATGATAACAATATGATTTGAACAAGGATAATGACAGATGCACAAACTCAATTTATGTGGTAGTGTATTTCTATTATAATTTAGGGACGGAACAATATGGAGACATGCATAAATAGAATACTTTCGACAGTGTTCAGCAGTTGGTATTGTAATAGCCATATACTGCCACATACCGGTAGTAGGAATATGTGCACCCCACAGACAGCACCTACATGTACATGTATGACCATTCTGATTAGTGGAAGCAATAACTTTTTCATGTCATATTGATGATTATGCTATGTATCGATCCTCATATTGTCACGATGGTTCATTGTTGGCAACATGAATTTCATCAGGTTGACAATGTTAAGGCTTTGTACTTTAGATTAATTTAATGTGATCTACCACAAAGGGAGGATGTTCTACACTTCATCTGTCTGTCTCTTTTTCAATATGTCTATGATATGAACCGCTGGGAATTGCCATCAAACCAACTGTATCTTTCCTGCGATGTTGAGGGTAGTTGATCTTTAAAAAATAACAATCATTGATGGAAGTAAAACACTTCACAGAATGGGAAGAACTGTAAGTTTCTTTGCCATCAGTAATTGTTGCAAGTACCTACATGTATACATACATGTAGCATTTATGAACCGACAAAAGGGAGATATATACTCTGGAGATTATGGCAGTTTTGGTTTTGTTTGTTTCCTTGTTTCTTTAACTTTCTTTTGCACTTGTGGAAGACTCAATGTAGTAACAAAAAATAGTGAAATGCCAGGTACCAGTCTGAATGCATTTTAAGGTCATGATTGTGATAGACTAAACTTATGAGTGGATCAAAACACCTGACGATATCTCGTTATAGCGAGATGTGACATACGTTACATGCTGTAGTATGTATTTGAATCAAAACATCAGATAAGAAGAGGGGCATAATTTAAATTTGTTGAGTTCTGCTGTTTTAAAAGATGAAAATTAGCTGTTCCAACTTCCTGCCTAAATATCTTGTCTACATTATTGAGTTGTGTTCATGTATTGGTGTTCTCTTTGAATTGTTGCTGTTTACTTGTTTACTTCATTTATTTGATTGCCATCAAAGTTCTTACCAGTATGCATTTTTAAGAGCAAATTATTGTGACTGATGGAAATGCCTTACAGTTGTGGTCAAAAGTCATAGAACGCCTGAAAAATTATCTCCGGTCTCCAAACAAGACGATTTTGTTAACTTTTTATATTGGGATTAACATATTTCATGAGATCATCAGGACAGTGATCATACTAGATCAGGAAAATCTTGATTGACATGATATATTGGTGGAATTATTGTACAGGATGGCCCATAAAAATGCAGCCGAGGACTGCAGCATTTCCCGAAATGTCTTGCTGATTTAATCATGTAACTGCTTGTTAAATGGGGTAAATATAATTTTCTTTGAAAAGATTCATAACCAGATTTTTTACTTTTGCCTCCAATGTTGTATGTTTTGTTTATGCTGATTGATGACTCAAAATCATTGCTAAAATGTTCTTGTTTTGTGCCAATGTTTTGCTAATCTTCCTGATTTCACCATGAAAGCCTTTTATCATTATATTAATTAGTTTCTATTCTATCACATATAAAGCTACGGTCACAAAGCTTCGTACGAACGATTATTTTGTACGAATCTCCGTTTTTCCATTGTCTTCCCGAATTTCCATTGTCTGAAAATCGTTCGTACGGCGTTCATAGCAGCACGTAGCGGTATTTGTGACCGAGGCTTTACTTTATAAGAAAAATGCTGTCACAAAATGAAAATGTTCCAAGTGTGCATCACTTCAAAGGCAACAGTATGTTGGATATGAGCCTTTGAATTGGAACCTAGCCGTATTAATTTAAGTTCTTGGTCTCCACATTCTGCAAATGCATTTTTTTTTAATCTGAGAAGATGATTGATTTTTTTAATAAGAAGTTTTTATATATTGATGTTCATTTGTTGACTGTTAGAATTTAACGTTGATTGTGACAAAGTGTGAAAATATACACCAGAGGTTGGCGATGGAATAAGTCACAATGCTCATACTCTGTTCCATATCTTGCCTTTTCATTCACCTATATAAGAAAAAGAAGCATGCATTTTTAAAATTCTGACAGGAGAGATTTTATGGCAAAAATGTAATGTGTTTTTGATTTGTTACTGAAACAAACTTTATTTTAGACTCGGTAACACCTGAATAATACGATATTAATGTATTACTTTGTCATGGAAAGATGTACGTGTCTAGCACAGCCTCATGTAGTCTGGTCATGAATACAATAAAAACAACCTCTAAACGGTCAATTGTCCCTTTTATCCATATTTATTTCAGTGTACATTAATTTGTGTGTGTACGTGTTTGTTTTGGATGTTTCCACAAACCCGTGTTAGTTTGTGTACACGCCATTTGTGGCACGTCATTGTCCCACATGTGAATGTGAACATTAGTGTGAAAGTACCTAAATTATGGATCAGAATTCAACTTCAAATAAGCTTTTCTTGGTATTCCTCTTGCCAAAAGTAAAGATTAATTCAAACATGATTATAAAGAAACTGACCAGAAATATAAATACATGTATATTGAGATTGTGATTACAGTAGGGCAAAGATGGAATTCCAACGGGATTCGAACCCGAGACCTACCTACCTACGGTGCTTTTCCGACTGAGCTATATAAAACACTATTACGGTGCTAAGCACTGAACCCTTAATTCTCATTGCCCGAGCGGTAAGAAGCTTTTATAAACCAAACGTAAAGATATTAATGACAGGGGCAAATTGTCCACAGTGCAGTCAGATTTTTTACTTCCCAGTGGAATGGCAGTTCATGCAGAATTGTTTTACGACACGTAAGAAAACTCAATAGTTATTTACAAAGTTCATTTAATTCTTCAAATAGAAAAACAGTAAAATGAAAATGTGTCGTTTGCCGTGTGTATGTGGTTGTATGTACAACCACATACACACGGCAAACGACACATTTTCATTTATGGACTTAAGTGCGTGTCTTTCGTGTCTTTCTGTTTTTGACTTCATATAGTTATTTTGTGTGACTCAGTTTAAATAATAAAAAAATAGTTTAAGCAACCTAAAAGTACGATAAACGGATAGTTCTGCTTCTCCATCTTTTTTTATGTTTTTAACACACCCTTTCGGCCAAACCGGGGGGGGGGGGGGGGGGGGGGGGGGGGGGGGGGGGCTTTGGACGAATGGTAGCGCTCAAGTTAACGCGACGCGACACTACATTCCAAACGCACCCTTTCGGCCAAACCGGGGGGGGGGGGGCGGCTTTGGACAAATGGTCGCGTTCAAGTCAACGCGACGCGACGCTACCCTACCCATCCTTTCGGCATAAGCCATTTTATAACTATATGATGCATTGTTTTCATACAACTGTGTAATGTTAGCAGTGTAGCTCTTCTTTTTCTACAGTTTATCAAACTTGATTGCTTTTATTTTAAAGATACATGTGAGTTCTGGTCATGCGATTGCATTGTGAAAGAAAAGGTGTGGAATGGACCAGAAAAGGTTGATCATGTAGCATGTACATTAAGTATTTGTGTGTATACTGCAAGGTTCTGAAGTCATCAAAATCAAAATAAATTTGGCCCAGTCTTGGTAAAGTAACTTCCACTGTACACAAAAAGATGTATATGGGACTACACAAATGGTGTCAGGGCTAATTAACTCACCTTGATTTCCTTATCTTTCTATGCTCATTACTTGGCCAGTATACAGTTTCTAGACATAATGGTCCCCGGATTTGGAATGATTTAACTGATAAGCTAACATTATGCACAACTATATCATCCTTTAAAGTTCTATTGAAGAGACAGTTGGTCTTTTCTTATATCCCTTAACTCTTTCTTTTTCTTGCAATGTACCATGCATGTGTGTGCGTGTGTGTGTGTGTGTGTGTGTATCTATAATGTGTAGTATATTATTTATATATTGTTATTATTGTCGTAACGTATACAACCATGTAATCTCGTTATTTATTATTTATGTCAGGGGACTATTTTACTTACAAGTTTTTCAAACTTCCTTTTTAGTCTCCAATTTCTTAATTCCAATATTATAAGATTATGATTGTTTCATGTTACTTTTGTATATATATTATGTTATGGTTTTATGATTGAAATAAATGAACTGAACTGAACTATCAAAATTGTTTGGCAAATGACATTTATTTACAATCTTGAACATTCAGTGTAAGTTTCGTTTGATTCTGTGAGAATTCATTTTCATTTTTAACCAGAACTCAAGTTTATCTTTAATTCCCACAAACATAGCTCAGAAAGATATGACTATTTTAACTCACGTGCAGCGTTTCCAGATGATTTTTGTATTTGCTCCTCCGAAAAGGCCTTCTCTAACTTGCCCCTGAGCGTGATTTCCTCACCAAACTGGTCTACCCTCCCCTTGCCAACCAGGATGAAATGGGTGTGGTTTGGATCAAGAGGCACGTTCCTTGTATCGCTTTTCTCGGCATCCATGCTGTAGGAAGCTGGGAACTTGCCCTGTTCAGTTAGAAGAGGGAGGAAGTATATAAATGTGAGTTGACACTTTTTAAAGAAAAATATCAAAAATATCACCAAACTGTCCCTTTAACAAGAGATCAATATGAAGACAACACTTTTTGTAAGTCTTCATGATCTGTTTTTATGCAGTTTATCTGATACAAATAAACACAATAAACACACAAATATCCTTACAGAGTTTTAACAACAAAGTTATTTCAGGACCTCAATTCTTAAAAAAAGCTTCCAGAATGACAAATGGTTCATTTGCACTATTAAGATTTTAACCTGAGGTCACAAGGTAACAATTTACACAATATTGACAGGCATTTCATAGCCCTGAATTCAAGACAAATCTGGTTAAATGACAGATCAACTCAATGGAAACCTTTTCATTAGATCAGTAAAATTCATTAGATGATTAAAATTCATGAATTCTTAGACAAATCCGCTACAATGACAGAGTAAGTCATGGAAAACAGTCTGACACATATCTTATATTTGAGAATATCTAAAATCTTTCAACACTGTATTGTTACATAACAATTGTTTTCATGACAGAATTCTGTCATTGCCTAAATTATCACATCATTGATTGAATTTCTATTATTACTGGTATTCATGATAGTAAACATTCTTTTTCCTTCCTTAACCCTATCTAGCCCGGGCTATTTTAAAACTGCATAGCCCGGGAAAATGAAGAGAAAAATTAATGATGAGAGCCCGATGAGAGTAGTTAATGGTTATTACTCGCAAGATGACCATCAATATACACATTTTGCTATCTCATTTTCAGAATACATACCGGTACCTAAATAGAAAACGAAGTAAATGAGACAACAGTATATGAGACAAGAATAAATCGAATTTTCGCTCATACTGCTTCATCAGGAATTGATGAATTGATTCAATTTATTCAATCAACAACATCATAGAAATGCAGTGCGCCAAATGCGAAGCAGCAGCGTTAAAAAGCAACGAGATAAATGTTAAGCGCGAAGCTCAAAAGTGCGAAAAAGAGAGCGGGTGAGAGAGATAATGAGAGACAGAGAGGATAATAACCCATGTAGCAAGCCCATGTGGGATCGACCCACATGAGTCTCATATTCTCTGAAACATGGGCCCCATATGGAAAACCATCTGGGGCCCTAAGGCATCTGCACCCAAGAAGCATATGGGACCCATATGGGTAAACCCATGTAAGACAGATGGGACCCATAAGGACTGGCCCAGATAGATCCCATATGGGTTACTAAATATTGGCCCATATGGGATACATACATGTATATGGGTTCTATTTAGCCCAGATGGCACAAGTGACCCAGATCATCCCCATATGGGCTTGCTACCTGGGGAAAGGGGAAAAGGGGAAGAAACGGGCAGAAGAAAAAAGGAAGGGGAAGAGAAAAGGAAGAAAGACAAGAGAAAGACGGTTTTGTCCAAATGGCAGCACGTAGGAGACGAAACTTTCAGTTTGTTCCCTGATTCATACTCAGTATATATTTTGTTTCATTGATTTCATCCATTTCTTTGTTTATTTATATCTCTACGTGTAAAACATTTGAAGAGCTATTTTCCGAAAGGAGCAAAATCTTTTGATAGCAAATGGAGATAATGATATACATTTTCCTCTATTTACCTTGAACAAAATTATTAACCTAAATTACGAGAGAAATTATGAACACATGCATCTTTTAATAACAATTTTCCATAGACACCTGAACAAAATCGGGTAAACAAAGAGTTCTTTCTTAAGTTACACACATGGATCTAGTGCCTCTTGAAAATAGGCTCATGTATGTACATGTACATAAACAAGCAATACAACAGAATACTCCAGTTCAATATTTTGGAGAAAGATTATTATGTCACAACTTATTTTTGTTTTATTGAAAAGCTGATGTAGGCCTATGTGTTGTATTCAAAAGTAACAGGCATAAGATAGTTATGGTGTTTTTTAGTGTTAGAATGTTATTAAGTTTGAAGTTTTGTTTATAACACCCTTCCAATAATAATGCACCTTCTAAGACTGGTTATAGTTTTTGAAGAAAAAAATAGTGCTCTGGTCAGGACCTTAGGGGAATATTATGCTTATATTTTAGAGCGTATCTGGTATGATAAGTATATCTGGGTGAAGAAGGAGGTAATGGAAGTTTGTTGTTTGGTAGTTGGAACGTAAGTTTTATATTATGTTTTTAAGAAACAGACAGTTTGTATGCGATCAGGAGTGGACATTTTCTGTCATTTTGAGAACCAAATTTTGCATCAGTGATATTCTGTTTCATTGAATTGAGTTTCCCGCAGAGAGGATTCAGTTGGTTTGATTAAAGAAGGAAGAGAGTAAATTTACTCCCCATAGGAACTCAGTGTTATATGCTCTGGCTCCTAATAGGAGCCAGAGCATATAACACTGAGTTCCCATAGGACATATATTCATTCAGATGGTCATATCTTAGCCAATACTTAACATATTCAATTGGTTTTCGACATTTGGACATTATTTTTGATGTTCTTTCGGAATATGAAGAAAAAACTGAGAAATTCTAAAAATAGATTTTTGATGACGTCACACTTCACCACTCTATATGCCATTGGGTTATCAATTTCTACAGATTAGTGTACTTATAATGATTGGGCACCAAATGTAAAGAGAAAGTGAGTGATTGCTTAGGCGCCTTGGATCAATTCGAGTGGCATTAATCACGCGGCTTTATGCAACGCGGCCTAGTTTGCGTGAAAGCCACAATCGTCCGAAACCCTCTATTGAGAAGACGCCATGCGAAATCCCGCATAAAAGGGCGTACGGTCCAACGACTTTAGAACTGAGTGCGACCTTCTCATATTGCTTTCAACTGAAACCAGTTGACCGCCCTCTATAGGCCATGTAACTCTCAAACTATGCAGGGGCCGCGGAGGCGGGTGGCTGGGGCCTTTTCTTTTTTAGTGGACACGTTTCATAAAAGCTCCGAGACAAGAAAAAGGGGTTTGTAGATTGTTCGCATGCTCAGACCCCCCCCCCCCCCCCCTACTCTCAAAAACGTTCCGCGGTCCCTGCTATTTAGGGTCAGAATTCAGATTCCCTTCCTCAAAGGGATAACTTATTAAGAAATATTATTTATCATACATTTATACAAGTCATACATTAATGCTTTTTCTTCCTTTAATATGTTTCGCTTTGTTGTAGCTTCATTTGTCTCGTTTTCGTTCCAAACTTCATTAATCTGTGTTGGGTTATCTTAAATAATATTTGACTTCTGGAACATTTATAAACTTATAGGCAAACCGCTTGACTAATCATGAAAAGATTGTTTAATAGTTATAAATGAATGGGGCAAAATATGAGCTTTTTAAATGAAAGCGCCATAAAAAAGAGTAACAACAACAAAAGCAGCAGCCTTCATTTTTTCTTTTATCCTCAAGCAAGGTTTTTATTTCCATAATTTCAATACATATTTACATTAATAACTCAATGATTGAGTGAAACGAGTGAAAAATAACATAAAAATTAAAGCATATACAACAATTCTCCCAGCTTAGTATTATTTTCTCTGATTGCCCAATCATGCCTAAACAAATCTTACCAACGACCCAGACTAGAAAATCGTTTTAACGTAACATTTTATCAACGAAGAAAATGGATATTACATTTAGAGTTCAGAAATAAACAATATGAAATGAAACAATAGGAGTGATCGAGAGGAAGGAAAAAGAGAGGTAGGAGATGAATTAAGACAAAAATAATAGAAAAAAAAACGTGGGGGAGAATTCAATAAAACAATCAACTTGAAGTTATATAAAAATGTGAGGAAAAAAAACCACCAAAAGTCTATCAAAGGTTTGTCCCCAGGTATATGAAATGAAAAGAATCTAACACAGTTACACGGGTAATTAACAAATTTAAATTCAGTGGTGAATTGTGACGTCATCAGTAAATCTATGTTTTGAATTTCTCAATTTTTCTTTATTTCCTGAAAGAGCATCAACAATAATGTCCCAATATTGATAACAATTGAATATGTGAAGTATTGGCTGAGATATGACCATCTAGATAAATAAATTTCCAATAGGAACTCAGTGTTATTTGCTCTGGCTTCTAATGATTTTATCTCGGACATTCAACGTTGCCTTTGCGCCATTATGTTAGTGATTGTGATAGATTTTGAGCGAAAGAATGGTAATTAGATAAGAAAAAAGTATTAAACAGGGAAACAAGACACACAAAGTCATATTGCCAGTTGAGGTTGACATAAAAGCAAGCGAAGGAAGATGGCTTTCATATTTAGAGTTCAGAAATAAACAATATGAATGAGAGGGGTTGGAGAGATAGAAAGTTGGACGAAGTCTGTACTATATTCATCATTATGATATTTGTCTCTCTAATCATCCCCCCCGGCTCTTTTTTTCTTTATGTTGTGTTTGTTTATATATTTTCGCTGAAGTATAATGTCCGACGTATATTAACACCATCAATATAGCATAATAAACATTTGTTTGTCATATCAGTTTGATGCAACAGAGATTTATATTAAAACGTCTTACTTCTTATAATTATCATTGTACTGTAATATTCTTCTCTCCGTTCACTTTAGCTTCTTCTGAATGTTTACGCTGTATTTCTTAATCTCTTGATGAAATATAAACACCAGAAGCTAGTATTTAGTGGATGCAAACAAAACATTGCAGCTGATGGGTTCGAAAATCAAAATCATGAATAGACTTCCTGCTTTTTCACCGCAGATCATAACAAAGCGAATGAAAATGGGCAGACCGTAGTTCAGATAATCCGGCTATTGTTTTCTATCATTGGAATAATCCACCAGCTCCATCTTCTCACGCAAACAGGCCGGTGAATGGACTGTTGTTGTTGTTGTTTTATTTAGGCAAGTCAGTCAGTTTATGACCATTATTGCCGAATAATATGAACAAGTTTGTTTTTAATTCTAATTTACATATATGCACTCACATAATATGCGTGTATATTATGAATAATATATAAATAATATTTGTTTTTAAGATATATAATTATATATTACATTCCTTGGTCACGCTTTGCTTAAAAGAGATTATGATTATGTCCATCATATGGACAGAATGAATTGAATGTGTATTTTCATTATATTATTTTGCAAGTACATGTAAAGGGCGGAATAGAAAACAATATGAAAGATGAAGATGGAAAACGACATTGGCAGATATAGACAAAGAGAGACAGACAGACAGAGAGAGAGATGAGAGAGAAAGAGAAGGAGAGACAGAGAGATGAGAGACAGAGAGAGAGAGAGAGAGATGAGAGAGTGAGAGAAAGTTAGATGCTTCATTATAATTGTACTACAGTACTATCATTATTAATATCATTTTCATTATTATCTTTGTAATCATTCTAAAAAAAGCGGGGGAAAAATCTGGAAGTTTGTCTATTTAAGAATAGAAACAATATCTTTCGTGCTGGTATGGTGGCCCTGAAAAGGGCCGTTTGGTTATGATTTCAGGAAGAAGAAGAAGAACTCTTTTCATTCCTGCGCAGTTTTCGACACTTGCCGTTTACTGCATCACGAATGCGGCGGAGATTCATCGGGGCATCGAAGCGAGGAAATGATTTCCTAACTTGCGATTGAATCGCCTTGAACCGATCGATTTTATAACTACCGGTATATAGAATGATTATACGAAAAGAGTTATGTCTGAGGCCTATCTACATCTATGTTACGTAAGAGGAACAATGAACTTGGCGAAAGGTAGCGTTCGTTGTCATGGTTATAAGCTCGAACAATGGAAGGGCGGATTATGAGGTACTAGGGTGCTTGCCGTCATGAGATTTCTTCAGGGCGAGCGCGGATTACGCTGCTCCCAATGAAGTACCAGCAGTATCAGAATTTCATGTGAAAGAGAAATGGACATGCTTATGAAGAAAAAAAAACGATAATAATGAATAATATGAAAGTACAACAAACAGGAGCAATTGATAATGTTAGTTTATATGTTGCACGATTGGAGAAATAAAGTATCTTGAATCGTAATGTTGAATCTTGTGCAACAGTTTTGATTTATCCTAATAAGATTTTTTTTGTGTGATGTGAGCAAAATTAACGCTAATTTCTAAACGAATGTCAATCAATGATTTGTTACCTTCCTTCCATTACCCCTACCTAACAACAAACAACAACAAAAGCCGGAGACACATTACTTGGGGGAGGGAGGAAGGCAAAAATGTATAATGAGTGCAGTTTTCACATTTTAATGAGATTTATTGAATGGAAGAGTAAAATCAACCCAAATTTGTAAACGATTATAAACAAATTTTTATAATTCATTGCTTTCCTTTCATTATTCATCACCCTCCCCATCTAAATAATGATAATAATAATATGATGATGATGATTATAATGATAATAATAAGCCGGAGAAACACTAGCGTACGGGGGAGGGGGAGGGGGGGGGCACGGTGCAGGATGCGGATAGGGAGGCAGACTGCACCCATAATGGGTGGCCAGTGAAACAAAAGAGAGAGTGGGGGGAAAAGAGAGAGAAAGAGAAGAGAGGGAGAAAAGGAGATGAACAGGAGCAAGAGAAATTGTTTTCTTTGGAAAGGGCCTTATACCAAGTTCAAAGAAAAAAATAATATTTAAAACCTTCCGTAAAATGTGTTTTGCCTCTATGAGTTAAATGACAATGGAATAGCTTAGTCTCCAAACAAGAATTCATGAATTCTTGTTCCAGCACGCAATTGTTTATACCGGCGAGAGAAAAAAAACCCACTAGTCTTTATTTCCATTAATTGCTGAAGAATTAAATTTGAATGGGGCTCCCATAACCTGTGTGTCTAGATTGACACCTCCAAGTTACCTCCCCGAAAAAAATCTACTTTTAAAAATGCATTCGGTTATATATACACAGATAAAACGTAATTGTTTAAAATGCTAACAGTTCATTACAATACAACAGCTTGTTGAATTTTTTAAACAGGTCTTATTACTTGTAAACAACCCTTTTAAACTGTGTTTTTATTGTGCATAATGATCCATTCCAAACATTTAAAGTACAGTGCTAACTAGACACGAACTCAAGCTAAGCTAAATAACTTAGTTTAGCCGCAGAGGGAGCTAAACAAGTATGACGAATCTTTCAATGGGCTGAAAATTTTCTGGCTTGAAAAGGACGTCACGGTCTTCGGACACACACAATGCGTCTTTACGCGGGCAAATCGTGCATCCGGGATTAACTCAATACGGCTTTGATGCATGCGCTCTCTGGTTAAAAAGCTGCAGCTTCTCGCACATGAGAATTAATCCAAGGCGCCTTAGTAAATGACTAATAATTATTCTTAATGGGAAGAAAATATAATTACCTATAAAAAAAAATATATATAAAAAAGGAGAGATAAAACAGACAGAGGGATTAAATAATGTAAGACTAGTATCATCTTAGATTGTTTACAACATGTATTACGTGCTTGTTTTTAGAGCAAAGGAAAAAAATTGATCTTGTAGCAAAATATCTGAAGGTCTAAGAATTGGATTTAAATCTAAAAAAAATTGATGCCTGCTACTTACATTATCATCTATGAGCTTTTCTCTGTTTTTGATCACTCCCCATGATGCTATACCGATGGCGACTATGTCGCTCCGTCCGGTGGCAAGGTTGTGGTGCCTCACAGCATCTCCTACATACTTCATCACACCAGCATGGATGCCTCCCGTAATGATCCAGGCACCTAGAGAAGAAAACAATCATCATTTCATGTTCAGTTTATTCAATATTATATACAGTCAAACCTGCTTTAGTGACCACCTCTCTACAAAGACCACATTTCTTGTTTCCCTTGAAAATGGTTTCTCATTGAAACATGTACTTGTAGAATTATGAGTGTGTGAGGTATTGTGAATGGATATTTGAAAGCGTGTTCACTCGTCACACAACATAACTCTTACTTTTTATTTTAGCTACGAGGAAGCAAGGTTGCACTGACAATAAATACAAGAAAGAAAGTATTCCCTTTTCGTTATGTTTATTGGATACTGATGAGGCTGGCCGTACACTTGCAAAGTGTAGCCAAGCACAAGCGATGACTCAGAATGAGAATGCATATTATGAGAATTGAAGATATTGCACGTAGTTACATAGAATGGTCATGAATGAGAATGAACTTGAATAAATGGAATGACATGAACAAAAGCTTACGACTGAATAGAAATGGCGTCGAAAGTCCAATGAAGATGAAGAGAGATGAAAACGAAGGAAGGGGCTCACGCGATGATGTGCGCGGAGTCTTGAAGAGGCGGAGATGCAGCTTCGTATTCGTGGCTGAAGAGCGGTGAAGGATCTCGACGCTGACGCTCGTGATGAAGATGATGGAGAAGCTCTCAGGCGAGAAGAGAAGAGATGTGGCGCTCGACGACGGAACAGTGGGTCGTTCGATGTCGGAGGCGAAGAGTATAAATGTAGACATCAAGCCGGTGGTGAATTAAGATGGAGCAGTGAGTCGCTCGTTGAATGATCCAGACTTTGATGGAGAAATTCATCAGAGTTACGGTGAGTCGAACTCGTTGATGAAAAGAGCTACCGGAACGAAGACACTGGCAGCTCCCAGCGGAGAATCAAGCGCTATGTCGGGTCATGATTATAACGTTCCACTGGGAAACTGCCAGCCCGATGAAAACGGCAGAGAAAGAGTTGACGTGCCGTAGAAGACGAAATAGGCACAGTAGAATAAAGCCTGGAGAGGAAATTGCGGAGACGTCTTGACTCGACCAAGATGAAAGCGGGAGTGAAGTAAAACCTCGTGGCGTCGAAGATACGCGGGTGAACGGGTGCGCGTAACCACGGTGCGTGATTGGAAGGATAAACACACGTGGTCCGAATAATGCATATAAATAAGAAGCGTGATGGAAAAATACTGGAGACATGAATGTACGATAAGAGTAATAGGGCGAATGTAAGAGCCGCTACATACTAAAGGAACTTGTCTACAAAGACCAATTTTTATGATTCCCTGGGGCGGTCGTTATAGACATGTTTCACTGTATCATATTAATTGTGTAAATGCTATGATATTGTCATATTATGTACAGCATGGAAAATGCTTATATTATAGTATTGATGACTGCTTTGAGAGAAATAGTTGTTTTTATACACTCAAGGGAAGGTTAGAATTGTGCTATTGCCCCGAGGCGTGCCGAGGGCAATAGCCCGAGAGCCAATATCCCGAGAGCCTATAAAAACAACTATTTCTCGAATATTAAAGCAGTCATTAATACTTTTATATGCCAAAAAAAAAAAAAAAAAAAAAAAAAACTTTTGTCGAAGATGGGATTCGATCTCTTGCGTACCAAAGGTGATGTAACGAAAACCGCCGCCTTAAACCGCTCGGCTATCGCGCTCTGTTACCAAACATAGCAGTTTTTTCTTATATACATTAAAATGGATTGAAAACGGCTTCGCGTGGTGGAAGCTTCGCAGCTGCTCCATTAAACAGGCCCTTCTTTTACTTTTGCAATGCATATTGGCACGAATTTAGATCAAGATCTATCGGCAGATGTTGTTTTTTTGTTTTTGGAAGTTTATTTTCGTCTTAATGTCCACAATGCAAGATAAAATTGTCGGTAAGATCGATCGAGATTCAATTGTATTGAAATTACCGACCAATTCTTCGCACACGTACGGTATCCTCGATCGCTCAGACCATTTTTTAACATGTAAACCTATGGGGTAACCATGGAGACTGACCTATTTTCCCAATAACCATGGTTATTGGGATTTGAACTGTTTTTTAACCATGGTTACCGGGAATTTTCGGGAACAGTTAAAGTTTATGAATGCAATTTCGACCAATCAGATTGCTGGATTACTTAAGTGAGGTATATAATAGTTGCTATTGTTGTTATTACTGATGTTGTTTCTGCTATTGCTGCTACTGTTACTGTTGTTGTTGTTGTCATTATTATTCTTATTATTCATGTTAATTTAGTTACTGAGACTAAAGGCTGAAAGGAGTTAGGTTTTCTGATTATCACATTTTAGGAAACAAAAATGAATCTTATAAGTAGAGCAGTCAGTAAAAAGTAAAACTAGATCCCTGTAAATCAAATTTAAGAGCAAACGTACTAGAGGAATGTCATGGCTATACCATTTTCCAAAAAAATGTGACCTTGAAATTGAACTATTCTATGGGTGCCAATTACGATGACCTATTTGAAAACCTAATGAGCCAAAACTATGCTTTTACGATCTATTGTATTGAATACTGCTGGTACCAAATTTACAAGCAATTTCTCACTGCTTTTACAGACAGGCCTATCATCAAAGTGAACATATGGAAATTCAATCATTTCAGGTTAATGGCTGCAGACACAGGGTGGAATATCAATACCCAAAAGGGACTTTTTATTAACTAAAATAAAAGATAAGTAAGTTATAAGAACAATGTTCAAAATTCTACCCAATCACGAAAACTCAAATAAACCCCAATGGCTTGAAGTTGAGTTGGAAAAATAGGAATTTAACAATTTTCTGAAATAAATGGACTAAAGTTTGAGGAACTGCTTCTACCCTCTCTCCCTTTAACTGTCAAGCCAGCTCCAAGCTGGTATATTTCAGACAAGTTATGGGTATATTTGAGTCCATGAAACGAAATACAGTGTGAAGGTCAGACAAGATTGACCTTCGACATGACATTGCCCCAACTAATTGTACTGCTATGGATGTCAGCTAGAGCTGCCCTTGCCAATATCATAACATTCCCAAGCCTTTTTTTACTAGTTATAAACATATTTCCTAAAGTTCTACAGTAGGGATGAATCTGAATCTATACCCACTCCCACCCCCCCCCCCCAAAAAAAGAACATTATACTAATAAAATATAATGTTACATAAATAAATGAATGAATAACAATAAGTAAATAAACAAACAAAGAAACAAGTACATGTACATGTAAATTAATAACAATGAATAAGTCAATCAATCAATCAATCAATCAATCAAATCAATTAACTATTTAATTACTTAAAGGAAACCTAAACCCAAAAAATAAGTGTAGGTATTCTGAAAAATGAGATGTATTCCTGCCCTTTGATGTACAATATTCCTTACGAAAATGTACAAGATATATATAAATAAAGATATTCCTGGCATGATGTGATGCCTGTCACTGTCAGCATGACATGGGCGCAGCCATTTTTTTAAACATGTGACGTATCTGTTGAAGTTGTACATGTATCATGCACCAAGCTTTATTTGGAAAGAATTTTTAAATCAATAACAAAATTACCTTTACTTTTCAATGAAAAAAAAATAACAACTGAGATGATAGAAATTATATTAGGTGAAAAATAAATAACAGGGGCACAATTGTAACAAATTCATTTATAAATACTACACTATAGCAGTTGAAAAATATATTTCATTTATGAGAAACCTTCAACCCAGAAGAGCACTAACTAATTTATGCAATTTGCGTTCTGGCAATTATAGTACAAAGGAAAATAGCAGGTGAATGAAATGCTTCTTCACCACACACATCTGGGAAAGAAGCATCCATAAATTTGAATACATTTACTTGATAAACGACTTGGCATAGTACGTCACATTATCAAGAAAATGGCGATGCCCATGTCGTGCTGAGAAACTGTACTTTATTTTTGCTTTATACGTCTCTCATACACTTTGGTGGGGAATCTTGTAGATGTATGGGTAATAACATAATAAATCTCTCATAATAAGTACAGTTATTACTTGGGGTTCGGTTTCCTTTAATCAATGAATAAATGAATGAATGAAAAAAAAAAAATTAGTTAAGCAATGAATAAATGAATCAATCAATCAACCAATCAATTGATTAAAAAAATTGAAAAATCAATAATTACTATGTCAGTATAACAAAGAGCATAGGGGAACTTACCTGTGCTGGTAGCGGCTTTGATAAGTCCTTTACGAAAGACATCTTTGAGTCTGCGATTGAGGGGAAAGTTTTGTGCCCCTCCAGTCACTGAGATGAGGAGTTTAGGGTTGGTTAGATTCCAAACATCTCGAAAGAGTGAGAGAAGCATGAGTGGATTGGTTTCATAATCCACTCTTATGAACTGGGAAGAAAAACACAAGTAACCAATCACAAGATGCTATAAACCTAATGTAACAATTTTTGTCAAACAACAATAACTTGTCTATACAGAAAAATGAATAGTCATAATTTATATAAATAACACTCTGTATTCATTTGTATGTTTTGTCTATTATTTTCATATGAATTATAAATCAAATAATCTTAGTCTCTTCCTTAAAATCCTGACAAGAGAATTTAGGGGTAGCATAGGAGGAATTGTTGTCTGAATCCAGACTATCAAGAAGGACTAGATTGGGGATGGTTTCATAAGTCTATTTTCACCTTTCAGACTTCATCAAACCATGGACCAAACACAGTAGTACCATGGGGGGGGGGGGGACTCACTCTGTGTAACATGATGGATATCAAGATTCCTATCACCTTATTTACAGGTCATCCATTAAACAAAAGTGAAAACAAACAAAAAAACAAATAACAAGGCAAATAGCCACCTCAAAAAGAAAGCAATCAAAACAAAAAACAAATACTAGAAATACCTTCTTGGCATTCTGTCCGACAGCCCCTACCAAAGCTCCTGTGAACTCTATCTCTCCATAGGCATTGGTGGGAATGGTATGGGTGTGGGTTTCTGCTTTCCATTTGGCACTCGGGTCTGGGTTCTCCAAAAATCTCGCTTCATGTTTAGTCTTCCTCTTTTTGCACTGGCACCTGGGGTCCTCATCTCTCCTAAAATTGATAAAACAACCACTTTAAAGACACTGAATTCTCTCACTCTCTCTGTCTCTCTCTTATTCTTCTCTGCCTGACTCTCTCTCTCTCTCTCTCTATCTCTCTTACTCATCTCTCTCTCTCATTCTCTGTCTCTCTTTCTCATATCTTGTCTTTATACATGTATATCTCTTTAATTTCTTGTTCTACACTGTATATCCCCTTTTGTACCACCCCCCCCCCCCTCCCCCATATCGCTGTCCACTTTTCTCTCTATTGTCTACCTCTGTTTCCTTTATATTCACACAATCACGTTAATATACGAGGCCGCCATCCATCTCCAGCCTAACCGCTCACGATGGTGGTCTCCTGCGTTCCAAATTACCTCTCTAATTTATTAAAAATATTTCTTATGTTATTGTATGCTTCGTATACCTGTTTATCGAATGATATAATTGTACATGATTTTTCATTCAATTACTTTTGTAAATATTGTATTCATTGTATTTGTTATTGTTCGAAATTTTGTACTTTGACTTTGAATTTGTATATTTTTGAACGCAGAAATAAAATCAATCAAACAAAATATGCTTACAATTTGTATCTTTCTCTTTTCTGTTTTCACCTCTTTCTTCCTCTAATACCCCATTCACAGTGGCCTCAAACACCGCGACAGCAGCGGGACTGTCCCGCTGCTGTCGCGGTGTTGTCTTCAGTGTGAAGGCTCGGACCCGTTATAAACTATCGCGGGATAACACCGCCTCGCGATAACGCCGCGACAAACTATCGCTAGGTTCGCCTAGCTACAGCAGCGGGACAGTCCCGCTGCTGTCGCGGTGTTTACTCAGTGTGAAGGCTCTCCGCTATAACACCGCGACAAACACGTGTGATTTGTTTACTTACCTATCACTGACCTCTTTTCTCCAGCAATGGGGAACATAAAGTGAAATAGAAATAAAGTAACCAGTGGATTCAAATTGATTTTATTATTATGTAGATATTATAATTATCCAAATAAAAATATTTCACACTTCAAAAAATTAAAATATTCTGACTGGAAGCAATAAAAATGCTAGTTTTTTAAAAAGTAATATGATCGAGGATACATATCGGGGTCACTCGCGGGTCATGAGCCATGCATACACGTGTTTGTTACGGAGGTAATAAAAATCACCCGCTGCAGCGTGAATGGGTACATGATATTTATCCCGCTGCTGCAGCGGGATAACTTTTCTACTGTGAATGCATTTGTAGCGGTGTTATGGCGGTGTCGCCGCTCCGCTACAACGCCGCTACAAATTTCAAAACCACTGTGAATGGGGTATAAGTAACTATCAGTCCAGATTCTGTCCGTTTTTATATACTTGATATTCTTCAATCACACGCATCCAACACAGAGCGCAGTATCTCCACTCATTGCGCGATCCCCCAAATACAACCATCCAAAAGAACAGAATAGGGACTTTTAGAATGACTGGACGAGAACATGACGAACGCCGACTGATCATGCGTGTCAACGTACTTACTGCCCATGTTGACTTCAATTACAAATCTTTTAGAATGCACTCGACGATATACATGCATGCAGGAAGTAACACTATGAACATCGATCACGGACAAAGAAAGAGGAAAAAATATACAGTTCCTCATTCTACCCTCAACAAAAGAACATCCCTTCACTGCTATTATGTAAAAATGTGTAGAACAGGTGAATATGCATGTGACACCTGTTCTACACATTTTTACATAATAGCAGGGAAGGGATGTTCCTTTTTTCTACCTGAGGAACTGTATATTTTATGTGCACGCGGCATACTAGTACCTTGAGCATGTAAAGGCACTATATAAATACCAATATGTATGTTGTACTACATTTAGGAAAATCAAGGTTGACGCATTCTCGATCGCCGACTGAGACGGCGAACCGCATGCGCAGTGCCTTAAAATGACGTCACACGTTGCAGTCAAAGCTGTCGACGTGCAAATCTAAAAGTCCCTAATGAGAGGCAAGGACTACTGTCACCAGTTCCGTGTTGAGGGCGTGTTGTTTTCTCAGCTGATTGGACTAAATAACGCTTTGCCCCCCCCCCCCTCCCCCTCTCCCTCTCTTTCTTTCTCTCTTTCTCTCTCTCTCTTCCCCTGAACATTCAAGGTATATTCACATTCATTTTTTCTTAATTACATGTACATATCACGAACAGCAAGAAGAAAGAAAAATAAAAAAAATCTGGGAAACTTTTACTTACTTTCTATCCTTGGGATCAGGTGGTGCCGGAGTGAAGCGAGTACACTCTCTCATAAGAATATTCTCTCGGATCCATGATCGATAATTAGTCTGTACATTTAAAGAATAGATAACAATAAGTTAAGTTGAAGTATAAAGACCTACACCAGAAGCACATACTTTCTTGATAAAACAAAACAAAATCAATTTGAATGATCTGGCATTTAAACAATCATTTAGAAAGTGAAACTTACCTTAAAGATATAAACTCTAGTTCTGGTAAAAAAAAAAAATTAATCCCACAGAATCAAACGAAACTTACACTGAATGTTCAAGATTACAAATAAATGACATGTGCCAAACAATTTTGGAAGAAAATGTGTACTGGCTGAGTAATGAGCATAGAAAGACAAGGAAATCAAGGTAGTACTAGCCCCCGACACCATTTGTGTTGTCCCATATATAGCTTTCTGTGTACAGTGCTTGTTACTTTACCAAGACTAGGCCAAACTTATTATGATTTTGATGACTCCAGAACCTTGCAGTGCACACCAATACTTGCATGCTACATGATCAACTGTTTCTGATCCATTCCACACCTTTTCTTTCACAATGCAATCGCATTACCAGAACTCACCTTTATCTTTAAAGCTAAAGACCAGTTATGGTTATGCGATTGCATTGTGAAAGAAACGTTGTGGAATGGATCAGAAAAGGTTGATCATCTAGCATATAAGTATTGGTGTGTACTGCAAGGTTCTGGAATCATCAAAATGATAAGAAACTTGGCCCATTCTTCGTAAAGTTACAAGCACTGTTCACAGAAAGATGGCAAGTCACGAATTGGCGTGGGGTTCCAGGAGGCGGAGCCCCAGGAAGCTTAGGGGGTTTGAGGCAATAAATTACGGTCAGATGAGCATATTTTGATACCTTATTTGTGACACTGGCAGGACACAAAATGTGTGGGGTCCAAGGGTCGGAAACCACAGAAGCTCAGGGGTTTTATACATTAAATTACGGTCAGATGAGCATATTTTGTATACCTTACTACTTGTGACACTGGCAGGTCACTAATTGGCATGGGGTCCACGGGGTGGAGCCCCCAGAAGCTAAGGGGTTTTAGGCATTTTATAACGGTCAGACAAGCATGCAGGGGCCACCTTAGGCCCCTGGCGGGTTCGAGGGGGCGGAGCCCCGGAAGATCAGGGGTCTTAGGCATTTAATTACGGTAAGATGAACATATTTTGATACCTTATTTGTGACACTGGCGGAGACCCCAGAAGCTCAGGGGTTTTAAGTATTGAATTACCGTCAGATGAGCATCCAGGTGCCCGCCTTAGGGCCCTACCCAATAAACAAAATCACGTGAAAATCACGTCAATATCAAGGTATCGACTTGAGGAGAGTTACGTTCTTCAAACACCGGACATTTACGTAAATGTGTTAATACGTTTTTTGCATTAGGTAACTTAAAACACACGTACACTAAATCACGCAATTGTCACTGCAATATCACCATTATAATAACGTGATTATCCCTACCTTGGAGACCATGGTTTGTAAACCTAATACTCCCGTGTTTGTTTGGTTATGAAATTACATCTTCATACACGAAATTATCGTGTCACAGAAACACGTGAAGCGTTAGTGATAGTTTTAGTCAAAATATCTGCGTGAAATTCACGTGAATATTACGAGGCTGACTTGAGATGAATCATGTTCTTCATTCACGTGAAAATTACGTCGAAGAGGAAGTATGTTACTGTAACCCGCGTTCAACCCAATAATTACGCAAATGTTACACAATAAATGAACCAAAATATTGACGTTCTCATCCCGTTTCTGAACATCGTGTCTTGGATCTTCCATAATTACGTCAAGGCGCGCCGGAAGCAGTTTGGGATTAGAGGGGGTTGGGTGGGGGGGGGGGGGGGGTTGCAAACATCCCAGAAGAGAAAGCTAGTTGCAACTGGTCCAGTTGATGAACCATTTAATGCCAACTGGTAACCCTGGAAATTGAAATAATGATCCAGTTGATCCAGGCCAGTTATAATTCAACTGGTCTAGCTGAGCCATTAGAACCATTTGGTAAAACTTCCAACCAGTTGAACAGCAACAATACTTCAATACTGGTACGTCTGTATTTCCAATGTAAGGGCATTGGTAATAAGTAGACTTACATAATTGAATTAATCGAAAAAAACTCGTATACTTGTACTTTATTGAAATTATTTTAGTTCACAGTTAATGTTTCCCTTATTCATGTTTAACTATTTATACGAAGTAGCGAAATGTCCTAATAACTGGTAATTTATATTTGTAGTATTTTCGAAATGAATTGCATATAACTAAATCATCAGTAATTAAGAAATATGTTGTAAATTCAGATAAATTGTTTAAAAAACATAGATCTGCACGCACCCCATATTCAATATGCAAATGAATTGGTGTCAGCTGGGTCAACTCGAAATATGCCAACGCTCAGTCATTAAATGGTGCAACTGGAAATATGCACACTCCAGTTATCAACTGGTGCAATGAAAATATGCCAACAGTCAGTTATCAACTGGTGAACATAGAAATATGCCAACAGTCACGGGATTATCACCACAGAACTTAAATGGTAACTGTGAAACCATCAAGACACCCAAGAATAACTCATTTTCACACATGTATGGAAAACACGGAATACCCAGCTTATATTAATAATCCGTTTGAGTCACGCGATCATCACCGCGGAACTGCTGGCAACTTTGACTACGATTTAAATAGGTGTTTTAAGACACCTAATCATGACTTATTTTTCACACCTAAAAGTCACGTATGCCCAGCTTATATTAATAATCCGTTTGAGTCACGAGATCATCTCCGCGGAACTTATGGCAACTTTGACTTCCATTTAAATAGGTGTTTTAATACACCTAATAATGACTAATTTTTCACACCTAAATATCACGGATTCACAGCTTAGATTAGTAATCAGTTTTAACTACGTGATCATCACCAAGAAAGTTATGGTAACTTTGGAACTATTTAAAAAGGTGTTTTAAAACACTTAATAATTACTAATTTTCACACCTACATATCACGTTTTCACAGCTTAGATTAGTAATCAGCTTGATCCACGTGATCATAACCAAGAAATTTATGGTAACTTTGAAACCTTTTAAAGAGGTGTGTAAGACACCTCAGAATTACTAGTTGAATATAACCAGAGATTCACGGACAGAACAATAAGACGATTAACCGGTGTAAGTAACGTGATTATTACCATCAACCTTGGATAACCTGTGAAACCAATCAATAAAGGTGCTTACAAGACCAAATAATTACGTATTTATCGCCACCATCGGTTAACTGACAAAAAACTCGTTGCTTGGTCAAGTGGTTATTTGGTCATAAACACTTGATTTACAGAGGTAAGTGGAATCACGTTGCTCCAGTCGCGTGATAAACTGGTGGTTTTTAGGTTAGATGAAACGTGAACAGGAGTACATTTTTTGTTTAAATGAAGGCACGTGTCGATAACGTTTAAATCTAGTTCAAAAGGCACTATACTTTAAAATCACTTAAAATACACTCCCAAAAGAGGTTACTTTTTGGTGTTCTGTTTATTGGGTAGGTGAAATCCAGGGGGCGGAGCCCCCGGAAGCTCATGGGTTTTCTGCATTTATTCACGGTCAGATGGGCAATTTTTGACACCTCATTATTTTGTGAGAAAGGCAGGTTACTATTCTTTCTTTCTTTCTTTAGGAATTTGCCATTTTCCAACTTACGCATAAAAAAGTATAATTTACTAAAGATTGAGGAAAAATTTCGGAAAATTATGTCATTTCAGCAACATTTTTAAATCATCGGCATCGAATTAGAAATAAACCACGTTTGAATTATATTTGGGGCATCTGTCTCCCCCAGGCCCCTCCCCCATCAGTAAGCCAGTGCCCCCTTCCCCGATCTATACCTTTTTGGCGGGAAAAATCGCAACTGATCCCCCTACCTTTCTTCTTTCTCTTTTTTCTTTCCCTTTCTCTCCTCTTTTCCTTTCCCTTCCCTTCCTTCTCTCTGTTGTAAGTTTAATGGGGGGGCAAGGGCTTTGGCCCCACCCTCCGTCCGATCCACACGTTTTTGGCAGGATTAATCGCAACTGTTCCCCCTTCTTTTCACCCTTTTTTTTTCTTCTTCCTGTTTTGTTCCCTTTTAGCTCTCCTCTTTCCCTTTCCCTTCCTTCCCCCTTTTTTGGGCGGGGTTGATATTGACGTGATTTTGTTTATTGGGCTGTATGTGTTATAACTAGTTATATAAAGAACATGATTCTTTAATAAATAAAAGTTCATTCTCACTTTTGAGCATTAAAATAAATATTTCTCCCTTTAGAAGGTAGGCGAGAGATTTGTCAGGCTGAAAACGCACCGGTTCCGTTCAAAGTAAATATGGTGAATAATAGTGGTTGAAATCCTTGGAAGGTGATTTCTTTTCAATCTGAACATAAGATGTGAAGTGTGAAATTTAGTACGTAGTAGGGCTTGCATGTACAATTCTCTGTGAATTGTATAAACTCCACAAAGTGAAAATCAGAAAAGAACTGTTACAAGTACACATAACTTTGAATAAAAGGGTGCATTAATTGTTTGAGTTTTTGTTTGTTGATTTTGGTTTTAATGCAATTTTAGTATAGTTAGATCCCTGTTATTTGTGGAAGACAATTCAAGACATCCTTTGATTCTTGTTCACAATCCTTCTTTCCTTATAAGTATTTATAGGGACATCTTAATTTGCAATTTAGGCATCCCTTTTTTTCAAATCCTGGTTGAAACAGTGGTTTGGTATAAGTCGTAAATGTACCTGTATTAAGGTAAGTTGTGGAGGTGGGACCACAGGGTGGAGGGGGAGAGGGAGTCATCCATTCATGTACACATTTAATTTAGGATAACTTTTGCCTTGTGCCTATTTTAAGCAGGTTGAGGGGCAACGGTGGGTTGTTGTCACAGTCAGGCGCGTATCCAGGGGGGGCAGCGTGCCCTGCCCCCCCCCCCCCCCCGCAAAAAAAAGAGAGAGAGAGAGAGAAAGAGAGAAGGGAAAGAGGAGAGAAAGGGAAAGAAAGAAGAGGAAGAAAAAAAGAAAAAAGAAAAAAGGGGGAAAAGAAGGAGATCGGGGGGGGAACGAAAGGGCCTGGCTTCCCAGGTGTTAAAAATAAGAGAGAAGGAAGGAAAAGGGAAAGAAAAAAGAAAAAAGGAAAAGAGGAGACAAAAAGGGAAGGAAAAAAGAGAAAGAACAAATTAATTGGTGTCAGCTGGTTCAACTGGAAATATGCCAACAGTCAGTCATCGACTGGTGCAACTGGAAATATGCACACAGACTAGCTATCAACTGGTGCAATGAAAATGTGCCAACAGTCACGGGATTATCACCACGGAACTTAAATGGTAACTGTGAAACCATCAAGACACCCAAGAATAACTCATTGTTCACACCTAAATATCACGAATTCACAGCTTAGATTAGTAAACAGTTTTAGCCACGTGATCATCACCAAGAAAGTTATGGTAACTTTGAAACCATTTAAAAGGGTGTTTTCAGACACCTAAGAATTACTAATTTTTCACTCCTGGAAATCATGGATGCCAAGCTTATATTAATAATCCGTTTGAGTCACAAGATCATCACCGCGGAACCTATGGCAACTTTGACTACCATTTAAAAAGGTGTTTTAAGACACCTAATAATAATAACTAATTTTTCACACCTAAATATCACGGATTCACAGCTTAGATTAGTAATCAGTTTTAGCTACGTGATCATCACCAAGAAAGTTAAGGTAACTTTGAAACCATTTAAAAAGGTGTTTTAAGACACCTAATAATGACTAATTTTTCACACCTAAAAATCACGGATGCCCAGCTTAGATAAATAATCAGCTTGAGCCACGTGATCATCACCAAGAAAGTTATGGTAACTTTGAAACCATTCAAAAGAGGTGTGTAAGACACCTAAAAATTACTAATTTAATACAACCAGAGATTCACGGACAGAACAATAAGAGGATTAGCCGGTGTAAGTAACGTGATTATTACCATCAACCTTGGATAACCTGTGAAACCAATCGAGAAAGGTGCCTAAAAGACCAAATAATTACTTATTTATCACCACCATCGGTTAACGGATTAAAAAACTAGATGGAATTCGACTGCGCGCAGTCGAAAATGATGCCTCCGTCATAGAGCAATTTTACCAACCAAAACAGAAGAAATTTTTCAAATTCAAGTTCATTTGTAATCCATTAACAGGTTCTCAAAATATCGTGATTACAAGCTATTTTTGCATACATAATGAGCCATGACCTTTGACCTCATGACCCAAGAATCTACTCAGTTCATTGGCTCTGCAAGATACATACATGATCTAAGTTTGGCAGGAATCCATCAATCTGTTCTAATGATAATGCGATCACAAGCCATTTTTGCATACATAATGAGCCGCGTGACCTTTGACCTCATGACCCCAAAATCTAATCAGTTCATCGGCTCTGCAAGTAACATACATGACCAAAGTTTGGCAGGAATCCATCAATCTGTTCTTGAGATAACGTGATCACGAGCTGTTTTTGCATATATAATGAGCCCTGTGACCTTTGACCTTTGACCTCGTGACCCCAAACTCTAATCAGTTCATTGGCTCTGCAAGATAAATACATGACCAAAGTTTGGCAGGAATCCATCAATCTGTTCTTCAGATAACGTGATCACGAGCCGTTTATGCATACATAATGAGCCCTGTGACCTTTGACCTTTGACCTCGTGACCCCAAAATCTAATCAGTTCATCGGCTCTGCAAGATAAATACATGACTAAAGTTTGGCAGGAATCCATCAATCGGTTCTTCAGATAACGCGATCACGAGCTGTTTTTGCATACATAATGAGCCCTGTGACCTTTGACCTTTGACCTTGCGACCCCAAAATCTAATCAGTTCATCGGCTCTGCAAGATACATACATGACCACAGTTTGGCAGGAATCCATCAATCGGTTCTTCAGATAACGCGATCACGAGAACGGGACGTACGGACGTACGTACGGACGGACGTACGGACGGACGGACAACCCGAAAACATAATGCCTCCGGCTACTTCGTAACGGAGGCATAAAAATCGTTGCTAATTAATTGGTCAAGTGGTTACTTGGTCATAAACACTTGATTTACAGAGGTAAGTGGAATCACGTTACTCCAGTCGCGTGATAAATTGGTGGTTTGTAGGTTAGATGAAAACGTGAACAGGAGTACCTTTTTTGTTTAAATGAAGGCACGTGTCGATAACGTTTAAATCTAGTGCAAAAGGCATGCTTTAAAATCACTTAAAATACACTCACAAGAGTGGTTATTTTTTAGTGTTCTGTTTATTGGGAGGGTCTTCAAGTGAATCTACACTGTATTTCATTTGCTAATAACTTCCATTAAACATCAAAGATGTTTGGAATTATTTATGACACAAGAACAGACTTCATGTCAAGGAGAGTATGGTAAAGCATTCAGTAATGGAGAAACAGGGAAGATATATATTTTAGAGAAGTATATATGTTTGTTTGTAATTACTAACATTTTACAAGAAAAAAATAAATGAATGAACAAATGAATGGAAATACACTGGTAGATTTTATGACATCAACACATAAAAAAACAATATTTGAATAAACATATTAAAAGTACTCATGACAAAAATCAATTAGCACATGATAAAAATGCAATGAATATACTAGCATTCTTTTGATACACATGCATCAAAATAATCTGAAGCACACATGATTTTCGATTACATAATTATGATACGGATAAGGATTTCATTACGTACAATTCGATTCTCCTCTTCTTCTTCTAACAGATCATAAAGTGTGTTTTCCACTTTAGATACATCAGGATCGCTTCGATCACTGTTTTTACGTTTAACCAGGCTCGTTGCTCTCAGACTTCCACCACGATTTCCATCTGTAGACAACTGCCTTGCAACTGAGGGTCTTTTCTTGTCACTCATGTTAAAGGCAATTCAGTTCAACCAACATGCAAAAAGACACTGGAACTTTCTGCACTACAGTTCTAGCACATCTCGGTAAAGTTTTAGTCTCGCCCCCGTTGCTTCCGTTAACAAGAGGAAGTGGGAGTGCAAAACAAGCAAGTTACCTCACACGAACATACAGTCAACGACTCGACAGAATGATTAGTTTGGTGTGTGTTTCGTAGTATTTAGTATTTTTAGTAAAAAATCATACACAAGGCAAAGTATTGACGTCTGATGATAGGATTCATGCAAAGGGATCACATATAGGGTTGATGAGCTAACATACACCCTCCTGAACTCCACAAGATTCCTTCCAAACTTGTGACAGCTAGAGTCTGTAACTGATGAATCTTGAATCCAAAGAACATCTTAAGAGCACTGCATCATCCTTTGATCAATTATATTCTGGATATCAATCCTATTCTACTTGAAAAGAGAGTCTCGTTTGAGGAGGAGTCCTCTCCACAAACTTGTCAAACAGTAGACTGGTCTGATATGGTCGGCGAAGTGAACATATTGCGCTATCTCTCTCTCTCTCTCTCTCTCACTCTTTCACATACCACCTAATTTGCTTTGGTTGGGTTCAACTAACCCCTAAACTTTAGAATGGAACATGCCAACATAATTTCCTTGTAGGGGATCGGAACCGATACAGGAAAAGGCTGCTCAGCACCTTTGCATTAACTTTTGCAAGTTAGGTCATCTGTACTAATCATTACAGGTAGAGCCAAATTGATGGTGTACATGCATCGCGCAATTGAGGGACTTAAATGTTGGTAAATTGTGATGAATCATTTAACTTCATTTATAATCAAAAATTCAAGTTACTATGTCGTCCCTATTTTCACGAAGTGACGGATGAGCGCGCAATTAAAAGAAAGTTAGTTTTGAATAAATCGCTTTCAAACTTTCAAACTATAATCTCAACCTCTTTAATGTATCAAGGGCAAATAAATGTTATATCCTGGGATAGAACATATCTCAATGTTTAGTTCTATGTTTAATTATTTCCATAATTTCTTATATTTTGGGGGGGAAATGAGCTGTAAACATAACCGTCACTTCGAGAAAACACAAAATTCAAGGACGCGCTGTAATTTTGTTTTCACGAAGTGACGGCTCGTAGCCGCGGGGGTAAAAACATACAGGATTTTTCTCTCGTGGATGGAAGCAACGATTTCTGAATTGTAGCGACAATCGCGTTCGCCTTTGCTGCTCTTCAATAATACTTTACAAGCAGTATTACTTAATTTTTCAAGGACTCATGATACATTCGTTTAACGGTTGATTACCCTAGATTGATTCTTTTGTTCGGATTATTTGCCGGGGAAATATAGAAGTGAACGGTCTCACGCTTAACGACGTTGTATCATTATTCTTATTTTTTCATCGTCTCTACGATGCTCTTTGAATAAATAAAAAAAGCTTTTATTGTTAGGCTTAATTTCTGAAAGAAATTTCAATTGTTGTTAAGAAATTTTTGGTTGCACTCTGTAGATTATGATGATGTGTTTGATCTTGTTTTCAATTAACAAGATCAAACACACGATGAAAATCTACTGGGTGCAAGCCAATAAGTTATTTACCGTATACAATAACCAAATGTGAGGTGCTATGCGGTGTGGCATACACATGGCAATCACATGGTAGATAAAATTATAATCATCAGTACTGGGTCAAATAAATTAAAGAGAACTTAATTTGAACCCTTCATCGCCTTACTTTTCCCTCTCTTAATTACCTCCCTTTGCATTTTTATGCCTCGATACTACAGAAAATAAACAATAAGATCTAGCTTCCTCTTCCCCTCCTTCTTCCTAGTACATGTAGTAGGAGTAGTATTAGCAGCAGTAAGACAATAATAATGACAACAATATTATGGTTGGTGGTAATGCTATTTTTGTAATTATTATAATTGTTATTGTAATTATTATCCTTATCATGATTCTTATCATTAATATTATTATTATTGTCATTATTATTATCATTTTTATTGTTATCATTATGATGAATATGAACATTTTTATTTATTTTAAATGGTTTATTTCATTAAACAACATTCGCGGCCCGAGAACCGAATTGCAGTTTCTTTTACAAAGTATACATCAGTGACAAAGTAAAATTACATGTAAAACATTATACATGGTAACATTATGGTAGTAACATTGGAATTCTTTTGTACATATGATATATAACTGTGCTTCAACGACCTTGGCAAATTGCTTGGTACATACTTATACAGACATCTGAATTGTATTACCATATTTGCAATATCATCATCATCATTATCATATGAAGCACAACATCCGCCAATACGCACCGAGAGGACAGCGGCCACTCAACTTTTCGAACGATAAGAGGAATTCCCGACAAAAAGTAACAGTTTGGGTGGGAATCGGGAATGGAATGCTCATTTGTGTGCTTGTGCGTGTGTTTGTGTGTTTCTGTCTGTCTGGCTAATTGGATGTGTGTGATCTGAACTCACCGGTGATATGATAAGATACCATGTAGACGTATGCGACTTCACTATGGACATGCGGAAGATAGCTTTGCGCATGCGCCACTACTGTTATATTTTTCGGTACGCAGAGATTATTCTTCATTATTATTATTTTATTTCATTCATTTATTTCCTGTATGTCATAACAATTGACATAATGTGAACATCAGATATATGGACTTACAATCAAGAGTCACATTTCACCCCACCACCTTCACTCTCACTCCCTTCAAATTTCCTTTCTTGTAATATATTTCCATACTTCTTTCTTTCTTTCTTTCCTTTTTTTTCTTAATTTTATATCACTCAAATAATTTGTTTATTTAATGTTATTTTGTACATATTGCTTTTTTAATGTACTTTCGATTTGCTTGTTTGAATATGTATTATTCAAATGCTGTTATGTAAATTATTCTAATGTATTTGTAATGGACTCCGATACCCAGAATGGGTTGTCGATAAGTAAATAAATAAACTTTCAAACTAAACTTTCAAACAGTAAATATGATCAGTTTACGGATAATATATAAAAGGAGCACAATAATCACACAGAGCTAAGACGAAATAATTACTTCCTTATTGTTGTTTTGGGGCTTGCATGGGAAGGGGGAGGGGAGTGGGGGTGGCAATAGCAGCCCATCTAACCAAAATATAAAGAATAATAAAGGGGAGATCGACCCCCACCCTAAATACGAAGCCGTTTTTTTTTCTCTCCAGTTTTCTTGTGTGTGTGTGTGTGTAGATATCGACGCTGTATACCCAACTAGCTGCTCAAAAGAAAAAAATTAATAAATAAGATAAAAAATATACAAAAAAAAAAACCCTAGAAAATTACTATTCTGCATTTGGAGGGGTGCATGGTGGGGGCGGTGTGCCAGTGTGAGGCTATTAATGATATCATTCATAGTCTCTTTTTGATCTGTGACAGTGTGGCTGTCAAAATATTTAATTGGTATTGCAATTTGGCACACATTGGCCGACAACCACACACACACACACACACACACACACCCTCATACACACAGAAAGCACGCACACACAAAAACATGCCCCCATTTTCCACATTTTTGTTTTTAAAAAATCTGTAAATTTCTATTTGTAAATATGATCTAGAATCCCTAATAAATGTTAGGCCTACATTTTTTTTATTTTTTTTTGGGGGGGGGGGAGGGGGGGGGGCAACTGAGTCTTAATAAAATAGTATGGGTTGAGAGGCTCCATACACCCCATTGGTGACAAATCTGAGTACCCCACCCCCTCCCCCTAAATAAATGAGTTTGCAAACAAAAGCAAGCATCTATGACACAATCGTAACATTCACAAATAGTACATGGCAATTCCACAATAAGCGACACACATACATGTATATCAACTTTGCAAATCACTGAATAAATGTATAATTCATTTATTACATTCAGAATGTTACAAATGTGGACGATCATATGGTTCAAAAGCAGTTAACTTGTTATTGGTTGCACATGGTCTTTAAATGACTGAAATAATCAATATCTAGCCCACATTACATCGGAATTGCCAATTACTAGTTACCAATTACACAAAGTGCACATATACATGTTAATTGAATTCATACACAATTGACATTTAACCGGAATGTTAATATTTTGATTGACGTGCCTGTTCTGTATTATTTTCCGTATAACATTCAGGGTGTCCCCGAAAAATCCAGTTACTTCACATCTAATATACGCAAACTATGGATCACAATGGAAAGAGCAATCACAAAAGTTCATTCACTAGCTTTTGTTATAACACTTTTTTTTGTTGCAAATTAAGGATGGTAAAAAGTAAATACCAGGCTGAATGAAGTTTTATAATTTTAGGGCGAGTTATTTCTGAATAACTGACCATAAAATCATAAAACTTCATTCAGCCAGGTATATTAAAAAAAACAATCAATGATTTTCCCATATTATACAAGAAGTGACCCCAGCCCTTTTTGTCATCCTATATTAAGCATGTACATTTATGAGATCAAAAACTGTTTTGCTAATAGTCTAGTCATAAAGGCTACAGCTCATACCAACTCGGAATTTATATTTTGAGTAATGTTGATCTATATCTTAACCATAATTTCTAAATTTATGATTATATTATTATGTAAATTGTAATTATTCCAAGAACCCTGTTATATCATATCAGGGTAGAAAAAACAAAGAAATTATCACATGAAAAGCACAGTGCTCTTAACTCCTTTCACAAGTTTTCAATTGCATGTATTTATTTGTGAGTAATTAACTATATTCAGCCCAAGGCATTTTGTCCATTCACAGGCCCAAAGAAGGGGGGGGGGACATATATTTGGCTTCACAGTGTCCCCCTCACTAACTCTTTTATTATCTTCATATTTGGCATGCATGTAGAGTTCATAAAACTATACAATGTCACGGTGCCATGATACACAATAACCCTGTAAATTATTGCCTAAAATATACACACAAAAATCAAGGACAGTGCTTTTATAGGAACTGCACAAGCTGAATTAACAGTGACAAAATTAAAAAAAGAGATGAAACCAGCAAATGTTTTATCAACAGAAACTCACTTCATTGAACCTCAATTTTTATTTATGCGGACACACAATCTCATCTCAAAATGTATGACAGACTTTTCAACATCTTATAATCAGAACTTAGACTCAATACCAAAAACAAGTGAAGAAAAAAGAAAAACAAAACAAAACACGGCATGGCTGCCGGGTATTGAAGATAAAGAACAAGAAGGAAGAATAAGGAATAACGATATGTTATTATAATTTCAAAATCTATCACATAATTAGAATTTATTTTCAAAATGTCAAACTATAGTGCTTTTGATTTTCAAATTCATGATTACATTTTTTTCTCGGGCAATGGTGGGTCAGGTCCACTTAAGCAAAAACATCCAAAAAAAAACACTTATTCTTAATTTTCATAAAACAGTTATAAACACAAATCAGTGATATGTAAATGAGAGAGTCATTTTTGTCGCTCACATCAATTACTTTTTATTTTGTTTT